CCTTTTCTCTTGGCTTTTTGCAGTGGAAAAAAAAATAATAATAATAAAAAATTAAGATCGGCCTCTCTTTGAAGCTCATCATCATCAGAAGGAGGAACCACGACTTGCTGGCAATTGGGACTATTGAAATCCACAACCTACTTGCTTCAGAATTGAAAATCACTTTGTAGTTTGGGATTCCTAGCCTTTTTCCTGTAAACCATCAAGCAGAGAATTTACATATGCCACGCCAGCGAGAACTGGGACAAACTTCTGAACATCCATCTGCTGTCACACACTGGGGGAAAAAGAAAAGAAAAAAAAAAAAAAGAGAGAGAAAACCAAATGTTTCTCCATCTTTGAGTTTTTGTTTTTAAATTGCCACGTTACCAAGATCTCTGTGCACCAGCCCGAAATGCCCTTTATCTTTCCACTTTCCTGAGTACCAAAGTGCAAGTTCTTGGTGTCACTCCTCCACAAAAGCTCCCCGGTATCTGAGAGGCGTGACGCAGGGCGCTGCCTGGCTGTGTTTTGCACTGCTGCTGGATGGCCGTGGTGCAGAGCTGGGTGTTGTTGCAAGCAAATCGCACGCACCAGAAATAGCCCCCGAGCAGGACACAACATCGAGGCGCATGCAAACTCGGGGGGAAGGGAGGGGATTTCAGCCTGGACTTTGGTTTCACAGGGCTGGTCTCGTAATAAACCCGATGGGCTGACAAAACAAAACATGCATCACTCTCTCTCTCTGTATTTTTGCCTGCTGGGGCTGGGGTGGAGCCTGTTTTTATGACCTCGTGTCTGGCGTTACGGCAAAGAGTCCGCAGGAGGAAGAGGTCATCCCTCAGAAATGGAGTCAGAATGACAAGTGCCCGCAGTTTGGGATCTCCTTACCTCTAGGGTGAGCCCCGGCTTTCTGCAAGCACCTCTTGCTGCCTGCCTCCGGGGCTCAGCCCTCACCCTTGGCTCTTCCCAATGCCTCCTCTCCCTTCTTCTCAGCCAGCCGTGGGACAGCCGGGATGCGCAGGGCTGATGAGATGCCTTCAGACATCTCCCAGTGCCTGCACGGGGCTGGTTTTGTGACAACTGTGATTTGACACGTGAGACGGGGTGGAAACCCAAACCTTTGGGCTCCAACAGTGATGCCTGTAGGGGAATTGTCCCACCAGTAGGCGACTTGTCCCACCAGTAGGGGAATCGTCCCACCAGTAGGGGACTTGTCCCACCAGTAGGAGACTTGTCCCACCAGTAGGGGTGTCATCCCCTTCACAAGGCATCCCTGAGGTTTGCCAAGCCCCCTCGGGCAGGGAGGAGATGTCCTGCTGCCGGTGACCACAGGACAGAGGGTGCTTCCCATATTACAACACGCCCGCAGGAAGAGCCCAGAGATGCTCTTCGTGGACACGCTGCTGTGCTGAAATGGGGCGTTGAGCAATCAAACCAGTTGGAAACCCTATGTGTCTAGAAATAAAAAGTGACTGTTTTTCTAACGCCTAGAGGGGCCGGTGGGGGCCCACGCCAAGCAGCAGTGGGTTGGAGGAAGCAGCTGGAGCCGGGTTGTGTTGTGTTCCTCAGCAGCTCAACCGTGAGTTCGGACCTGCCACCGAGCTGGGGCCGCGTCTCTGCGCAGAGCTCGGCCCACGGAGCAGTAGGGATGGACAGAAGCTGGTTCGACTCACAGACACTGAATTGTGCTTCTGAAGACGTGGGCAGTGGTCCTTTTGGTGTTTGTTACAGGGCAAGTTATGGGAATCTATGGGAACACCACACCCAGCGTTAAGGAATGAGACTGGTAACACTGCAGGATAGGGCCAGGCTCATTTTGCTCCCAAGGAAAATGATTCCCAGTAGCACAAATACTTCCAGGCTGGCATAGCTCAACAGCACGGCTGGCTTTGAACCCATGCAACACTCCAACAGCAGGTGAGGGGTTGAAATGCTTACCAGGTCTTTCCCAGGACCCAGAAATCAAAGCACTCTGGTCTATCCTACGGATAGCTGTCCATTATGTTGGAAGACCTTAGAGAAGGAGTCGATAAACAGTTCCCTTGCATTTTCTGCCTTGGTCCATCCTTCTCCTCTGGCCAACGTGAGTAAGCTCACTGCTCCTTCCCAAACACACCTGGTTGTGCATCTCCTGCCCAGCCAGGGCAGCCTTCCTCCAGGGACATTCAGCTGGGGACATGCTGGGGACGAGCCATTGATGATGAAGAGCCAAGCCAAGGCGCCGAGGTTTCACTTCAGTGAGGCCATGCATGGAGAAGAACCCAAGTGAACAGAAACCAACGAAAGTATTTGAGCCCCAAACCACTGAGACTCGGCGCAGCTGCAGTGAGCAGCTCGTCGGGGCTGGGATGTGCCTGCCGGTCGGTGCCACCACCAGCACCTGCTCCCCAACAGGGTGCTGGGGACAGCCTGGAAAAAGCCTTTTCCTTCTTATGGCTGAGGCACACCCTTGTTAATAACAACCTGGTCTGGGATTTAAGCCCTGTTTGGGGGCAGAAATTACTCTGGGCTTGTAGAGATGCCACTGATAGTCCAGCATCCCTTTGTGCGATGTGGTGCAGGTGTCTGGGAACCTGCTCCCACCTGCTGCAGCACCTGGTCCTCTGCCCATGGGTGAGCACCAGCCTCGGGTGCTTCTCCTGGGAAGGATTTCAGAGGAGGACAGAGCCAGGGATGTCCGCTTGGGGCAGGCATTAAGCACGAACCCAACACCACCACGAAGCCCTCAGCAGCAAGGGGACCCCACAAGCAATCAAAGAGCCCCCCACGTTACCCTTACAACCCTCCTCTGCCACCTGCCCCCATCCCACAGTGTCCTCCCCAGTCCTTCCACGTCCCCCCCTTGTCTCCTCGTGGCCTGGCAGCCGTTTGGGGTGGGAGCCGTGCTGCGGGTTTTACGGAGCGAGAGGCAGCGGCGGTCCCAAACCGCACCCCGGGCTCTGAGGCACTTTGGTAACACTAAAAATAAAATAAAATAAAAACTGCACAACCAGCTCCAGCTAAAGGTGCTGCTGCTCCCCGCCGCTCCTCCGCGGTCTTGGGGTGGAAATTGAAAGAGCCCTGAATACATAGCAGGTGGCTCCAGGCGAGCACAATATGGTGGTTTCTGAGGAAGGACCTGCTCCAGGACAGCTGGGGAAACCGCAAGTGGTGTTTTGGTGTTCAAGCCCGCGGCCCATCATGTGTTTCACAAGTGGGCACGTGTTGTTCCATCGCAGCTGAGCAGGCACCTCGCTCCCACTGCCCCCTGCCCGCCTCCCCCTCCAGCGCCTCGCCTGCAGAGAGGAGGCTTTCCTCGTGCACCAGGGGGAATTTTCCCCGGGGAAGGGACGAGCAATGTGGGGTGGACTCGTTGGTCTGAAGAGATTGCCAGAAAGGGGAAAGGCTGCCCCTCTTCTTCATGTTTTTGTCAGCTTGGTGTGGGTGGCTGCAAAACCATGTTATGTGCTAGCATGCTGATCCCTGGGCTGGTGAGCTCTGAGGGACTGAAATGGGATTAAACACCGAGGGAGACACCACAATGGCCCCAAGCAGCAAAGAAAGACTTGGGGTGTGCATGCTGGTGGTGCTGTCCCCCCCACCCACCTCCATGACCAAGCATCCCATAATCCAGAGCCATACCAGGACCAGGAGCTGGGGACCTCCTTGCACTGGGGATACTGGTGCATCCTCAGAAATCCCGGTCTGCAGCCCTCTCCTCACAGGCACCAAAGCTACAGGCTGTAATGCCTGCAAGGGATGTGCACAAGGGCAGAGAGAGGACCACGAGCATCCCCCCAACACGGGGGTCCAGTGCACCATTTAGCCAACACGTAGTGTAAATACCCACCCCACACGGCCTGGCAGGACAGACTGCCAAAGGGCTCACAGCCCAGGACACCATGGGATGTAGGGCCATCCCTCAACCCTAACTCATAGCCACACTTCAGCTGGGTCTGTCATCTTGGAGCACTTTTTAGGAGCTGCAGGGTAAGCTGCTCTTTGGGACAGGAGAACAGAGACAGGCTGTAGCTGCTCAGCTAGGAAGGATACAACAGTCAGCTGCAAGTCCCATGACAGCTGAGCAATTATTTTATGGAAGGCTGTTATTTACCCCAAAAAAAAACAGATAGAAACCCTGCAGCCAGAACAACCTGGCACAGAGGGGAGCCTTGGTCAATACACCCCATGAAGAACAGGGAGGTCACCATAGCTGTGCCATGCCCACATATATGCTTGTGGAACTCTCTATCATGAATAAAAATAATAATAATAAAAAACTCAAATCAGAATGAATAGGGGCTGATCTGCTTTAATACCCAAGCAGAGGGGAGAGCTTTGCATTCATCTCCTCTGCCCATTCCAAGGGACTCAGTCTCCAGCTGCCTGAATCTGGAGACTGATGAATAGGGTTGTTTTTTTTTTCAAAAACACCTTGGCAGGGCTGACCCTGAGCACATCACAGTGGGGGACAGGACCCAGACTAAACAAGGTCCAGGGCCTCTGGTGTTGCCCAAAAAACAGGCTTATAAGAAAGGCAGGTGATGGTGCATACTCAGCCACCTTTCCTACAACGTGGACTTCATTGACGGACCCTTTCTGCCCCCAGACATCCACCACCACCCCCAAATACACCAGTTCCCTCATGAGAAAGGTGGACTGAGGGATACTGGGGAGGGGTCCTGCAGGCAATAAGGAGCAGGACCACAAATGAGCACCCCTTCCCATTACCTCAGCATCAAGGGTCATATCTGTGAGCACCCAGCTCAGTGCTGCAAAGATGGGCAGGGACACATCTTCATGCTCCCCTGCATGATGGCTCTACAAGTGGGGCCCCTTTCTTCCTTCCTTTGCAAGGTTTTGGCTTGTTCCTCCCCTGCCCCACAGCTGAAGCTACAGAGCAGGAGGGAGGTGACAGAATGACAGACCCCACACCACAAGGAAGGGTTGGGGAGAGCCTGGTATCTCCAATTTGTTCTTGCCCAGCAGAGATTTGCCACCCCACCCATCGTAACAGCAAAAACACATCACAAGAGAAATACAAAATATAGCACTTTAATCGCAGGCAGATAAAAAAATTACAAAAACATTTCACAAAAAGTTTAGGCATAAAATAAATACGCAGCCTCGTAGCACATACACATGCACGGTCCTGGGTTGCAGCAGCTGCAAGGCACAAGCCCCGTGCCCAGGCAGCTCCCTGGTGCTGGGCACACAAAGCGTGTTAATGAGGATTTCCACATGGATGCTGCCGCCTGGTCACGCTTGGGAGAGACCAACACGTGCACTGGGGAGGGTGAAGCCAACCTACGAACACTACGCTGCAATCTTTAAAATAAGAAGACTCATATAAACTCCATCTTTGGTTAGGAAAATTAAGGATTTCTACATTCTTATATTCAACATTTACATATAGAATCTCTGCATTGCTTTCCAAATCTCAAAAATACTTCAATTTTACAGATAAAAATATAAACCTCATGGCAAAAAACAAGAATTTGAGGTACACCTCAGAAGGCATACCAGATCATATCACAGCCTTCAGCAGGACTGCAAACACTTTGGGAGGGGCAGGGAAGGGGGTTGATTTGGGGGAAGAACTTACTACATTTGAGAATTTTAAGGCTTTTCCAAGAGTTATCTCCTTCCAAAACGCTATACTGTGCAAGGTCCAGGTGGCAGATGGCTGGGGCAGGTTGTTAGAGCTGTGAGCTCCAGGTCTGCTAGCTGCAGTGACACAGGGACTGTCACATCTGGTACAAAAGCTTTTGTGAGCAGTGAAGAGCCCCCAGCACCACCACTGGGCATCCAGCTGAGTTTCTCGTGGCAATTTTTACCTCTGTGCTTACACAGACTCCGGACTGAGAACAGCAAAGAACACGAACCAACACGCCAAAAAAAAGGGGAATTGGGGGCAGTAATGGGACCAAACCGGCCTGGAGCGACCCAGACCAGCTGCCACCAGCGGAGGAGGCGGCTCAGACGGCGATCTGCTGGTTCTCTCTGAAGAGGGGCCGCTGGTGGGGGCCGCAGATGTCCTGGAAGATCCTGTACACCTGCTCGTGCTGCGTCTCGTTGGCCGCGGGGACCAGTGGGCTGCTGCTGCTGCTGTAGGCCTTCTCCGTGTCCTCCACCACCTGCCTGAGGAACAGCTGCTCCACCTAGGCCAGAAGGGAGCCGTGAGGAGGAGGGAGGAAGAGGAACAGCCCTGGAGGTGTCCTGCTGCCACCCACTGCGGTGACAGCACAGAGCTGTGGCCACATTCCAGCCAGGCCACCAGGCCCGAATTCCACAAGCCACCTCGTCCTAAGCACCCCTAGCACGTGTCACTGGTGGTCCTCTGTAATGGGGGAGGATAAATGGGCTGGGTGACATCCACACATGCACACATTGCCTCAGATTTGTGTGCCAGACAAGAGGTGGCCCTGTCAGAAAGCTGGACATAGAGGAGCAGGGCCGAGCTCTGAGCTCACAAATCCCCCCCAGGGCCTCGCAGACACTCAGTGGGGTCTCTGCTTGCTGCAGTGCCCACCCCACACCCTCCATGCCCCAATCTCATGTCCTTGGTGCAAGCACCTTGAAGGCCCGAGGGGTGCTGTGCTGGGTGTGGATGCCAAAAATACCCTGGGAATTGCCTCTGGGCTCCTAGCCCTGCTTCAACTACTTCAAGTGAAGTGTGTATCACTTCATACAGCCACTCCAGGGATTTATTTCCCCACAGGAGAGAGCAAAGGTCCCAACACCAAGAGGCAGGAGCAGGAGGAAGCAGCAGAGCAAAGCAGGGGCACAGAAAAGTGGCAGAAAACAGATTTTCTGTTGGTTTCGAGAAGCTATGAGGTGCGTGCTATGTGGAGGCTGTGTTTGCAAATGGGATTTAGCCAGATTAAGGGGTCCAACAAGCAATGTTTGTGCCTCCCAGGGATGGAAGCTAGAGCCTTATAGGAAAAAGCAAGGAGAAATTCAGTGCCAGGGTCAGGAGCAGGGCTTGGAAGGGCAGGCATCGTACCTGGACGAGGATGAGCTTACACCGCAGCGTGGGATCAGGGAACTCCTCTCCGAAGCACAGCGTGACCCTGCTGTCCGGGTAGCGGCCCTGGTTGTTGTAGTACTGCTGCAGGTCTGCCAGGACACGAGCACGGTCAGACACCACGAGCCTGGGGACCTCACACCCTGCCCCAGCACAACGCTCAAGAGCAGCCAGGGGGTGTTTGCTACACAACACCACAATTAATTATTCCTTCCCAGACCCTATATGATCGGTTATTAATTCAGACCACTCAATTATGGCCAGTCATAACCCCAAAGTGCTCCAAAAGGAGAGACCACCTGAGAAAAACAACCCCTGGAGAGGATGAAGATGGAAGGGAACGCTCCTACAAACCTCTGAAGAACAAGTTGGTGTCAAAAATCTTCACCACCTCGTCCCGGTCCAGTTTGTTGGGCCTGTCCTTGTACACCATGGTGTTCCCACTCCAGAAGACCCTGCCCTGGCACAGCCTCTTGATGAAGATGCCCTGCTTGTTGCTGTGCAGCAGGACCCCCCGCTCCAGGTGCCCGAAGAGCTTCTTGGTGATCTGCTTCTGGCGGTCATTCTGGATGGCCTCGGCCGAGGGGAACCTCACGTGCTCCAGGGCATCGGGGGCGTAGAGCTTCTCGTTGGGGCCCGAGGGCTGGCTGAGCGAGATCCTGCAGCCCTCGGGGTACGAGGTGGTGATGTGGCCCACCAGCTTCCCTCCATAGAAGAAGTTGATCACCATCTGGGAGTAGCCTGGAGGGGAAGGGCAGGCACGCAGCCCGTCAGGAGGAGCAGCCAAACCCTCCCTGCTCTCTGCTGCAGGGCCCAAATCCCCAGGGAGCTGCAAAAAGTCCCCTGGGAGAGCCTGGAGGAGACCTCTTATTTGTTGGAGGACACCTCCAGCACTCAGCCTGGAAGCATGCGAGAGCTCCAGTTCCCAAACCCTTTTATCCCACTGCAGGGGATAATGTCATGCTCAGCATGCATCACCAGAGCAGCCTTCTGCCATGGCACACACATACGTGAGCAAGACCAAGCCCCAGAGAGGAGCGTGATGCCCAGAGCCCAAAAACACTCCAGGGAATGGGAGCTGCCTCACCTGAATGATGCTGCTCGTAGCCAGTGTACCCATTCATCAGGGGCAGAGCTGTGGGCAGAGAGAGCAGAGATGTCAGAGATGTGCCCAGCTCCATCCAGGAGCTTCCATCCTTTCCCAAACCCCAATCCCCAGCTGCCACCCCCTCGCTGCAGTCACCGCCCCGGACAAAGAGCTGGGTCCCATTAAACGCCCCCAGTGCCACCAGCTACTTACTGGGGTTGGGCTGCTGCACCCACCAGTCTGGGATCGGCGGGTTTCTGCAGGTCTCCTGGGGGGGCGAGGGGCTTCTCTTGATGATGCCCAGGTACTCGTCCACGCAGGGGGGCTGGCAGGGGATAGGAAACCCATCAGATCAGCCAGGGACGGGATCCCAGCAGGTCTGCCCCCACGCACCCAATGTGGGATCCCACCCAAAGAGGCAAAGCAAGGACGCAGAGAGACTCGTGAATGCTTTTTGGGTAGGAATAGAGCGGGATTCCTCAGGCTGTACACCCAAATAATACCCTGAGAGCCTCTGAGAAGGGGAACGGAGACACAAGAAGCCTGCAGCCCCCAGAGAGTGTCCGCACAACCCAAATGCACGCGGAAAGCACGCACTGAGACCTCAGACAAACGAGCACGGTCACGAGAGCACACGCCAAGCTCCCAAAATCTTCGGCTGTTTAACCTCAGACCCAGTCCCCGTGCTCAGGGCTCACCTCCTTCATGAGGTCATCGATGGCAGAGGGGCTGCAGTCCATGTCCGTGACATCGGCCAGGCCGCTCCCGGTCCCGACACCGCTTTTGCCTGTGGAGAAGGGCAGAGCTGCGGGTGGGTGCCCCTGCCTGCAGCTCGCCACGCCACCAGCTTTTGGAAACCCTTCGCCCCGCGAAAGTTACGAAACCGAGAACCGCAGCCACCCAGCGCACCCCCAGCAGCTGCGTTTTGGGGCCAAAAACCAGCTCACGACAAAAAAGCACCGGCACACGGGGACTACAAGCGAGGCCAAGCAAATTCGGCTGGGAGCTCGAGCACAGGAGAGGGGGTTTTCGGAGCACCCCAGAGACCGGGGCTGCTGCTGCTGCTTCTCCTTTTTCCCCCCCAAGCCCTGCTGCCGGTGGGAACCTGCAGCACCATTTGCATACGGGCCCCGTGTGAACACGAAGGAGAGGAGATGCTAGAGGCAGGCTTCCTGCAAGATTATTATTTTTTTTTTTCTTAAGTCAAAACTTGCAAGAAAAAAAAAGGAAAAGCGCACGCACGCCTGACCACAAGCAGAGATATACTTAGCGTGACCTGCACCTCACCAGCGACTGCTCTGCTGAGCTGCTGTTACTCCCATCAGTGCCAAGAAAAGGGATTTATTTAGCTCCCTGCCAGGGTGGGGGGCAGGAGGACAAAGGGTTGGGGGCTCAAGCATCCCCCAGAGCAGCAGAAGGATTCAGGTTTGTTCCTAGAGCGTCACAGCCTGGCAGCTCACATGATGCTCCAGTTATTCCCCGTATCCTAAGCAAGGGGAAATCCCACCCTCGCTCCCTGCCAGCCCAGCAGCTCCTTCCCCACCTCCCGGCCCTAAAAAGGGACACAGGGCACGTCCCCAAGTTATGGGGTCAGCCCCACAAGCACCGCTCAGATGTAGGTCAGCACCAGCCAGGGCTGTGCCGGGCCCCGTGCCCTCCTCAGGGCACTCACATTTCTGCTCCTCCTCCGGGACGATCCTATAAACCTTGTAGGGCTCCGAGATGTCCAGCTGGGACCTGTCCGTCACCTCCTCGAAGTCGGGGCTCTTGTTCAAGGCGCAGCGCAGCCGTGTCTTCCAGGTGGCTGGCTCTGCTTTGTCGCCTTCTTTGAACTTTCCTTTGAAAACAGCCCAAGCCTAAAAAACAACAAAAACAGAAAAAATAGAAAATAATCCTCCGTGCAAGCTCTGCAAACCCCCCTGGTCCAAGGGGTGAATGCGCTGGGGCTGCAGTGAGCATTTTGTTGGGGCCGCAGCCTGGCTCAGGCACATCTGTTGGTGGGAAATGCACCTCGCATGGATGTAAAAACCCCAAAAAAATTAAATATTTGTCATGCTCCCCATCTGTGCCAGCCACACACCAAGCTACAGGCCCCAGATTTGGCCCCACACCCTTTACAACCAGCTTCAGAGCCAAGATTGAAGCGTGCAACTTCACCTCCGTGCTGACCGATGCGGGGATGCGCATCCAAACCTGTGATATTCTTAATAATACCCAAACTCACAGCAAAATAACCCATTTCCAGCTGCTGGCTAATACCTGACAGCTGGTTTCTTTTGAAGATCAGAACACCAGCTGTGCTTTCATGAGAGGTGGGAGAGCTCATTTTACTACTGGAGATGATAAAATATTACCTATTAAAGCACACAAATACGCACAAAGCTACCTATATTGATTTTTTTTTCCCCATATTCTATTTTTTCAGGTGGCTGAATTCAGCACAGCCCCACCAGCCTCATATCCCACTGCTCCTGCGCTTGGCACTGAGGGTGGTGCCACAAAAGACACAGCAACAGATGGAAATGGGGACAGAAGGATGGGAATTCCTGGGGAAGACCCTGACTTCCTCAGTCCGTTTTCGTTCAAGACCGAATTCTCCAGTTTTCCTGGAGAGGAAGGACTTCACATTTGGGGAAAAAGCCGGGATTTCCTTCCTTCTTTCCCTCAAAGGCTTTTTTTTTTTTTTAATTTTAAAGTCAATCCGGTGTTTTCAGAAGGAAGCCGGTGAGAAGCTTAGGGCAGGCCCTACCTTGAAGATGGAGGCATCCACCTCCTGGTTGTAGTCCTGCTTCCCGGCGTGCTTCCAGGGGATGCGGAACATGCTCTTCTCCTCGCTCTCCCAGATGAGCCCCGGGTAGAGCTCGCTGTCGATCTGCTCGATCAGCCACTGCCGCAGCCGCCGGCCGCCGTTACGGTCGCACATCCTGGGCGAGAGGTGGGAGCCCCGTCAGAAAGGGGGGGAAAACGTCTGTCTGTCCATCCCAGGGGGACATCTGTCCATCCGTCCCGCAAGCGCAGCCTCCCCGCACCCCCCTGCCTGCTCCAACAGCAGCTGGGCTCTCAGACATGGTCTTAATTGCTGCATCTAATTAGGACGAGCAGTCCCGCACCTGAGCGGTGATTACCCTGGAGAGCCAGGGGACTGCGATATTTCCAAGCAGGGAAATAAAAACGGAAAAAGGCAATTGGGGTTACAGCAGCCCCACTGAGCTCCCACGGCTGGAGCAGCACTGCCTGCGGGGACACAGCTCCCAGCAGCTCCCCTGTGCCTGTCTGTACCCAAAACCTCTCTTTTTGTGATGGAAAAGAGGCGATTTTAGAGGAATCCTCCTCCATTTGCTCCAAACCCTTCCTCCAGCTTCCAAGCAAAGCCGTGAGCACAGCACCATCACTCCCCTTTTTGGCTACCGATGGGTCACATCCAAACCCCACAGCTGGGAATTAAAGCCCTGGGCTGTGCCACCACCCAACCGAGGGACACCGCACGGGCTGGCAGCCCCCTCCACTATAACGGGGGGCAAAAAAAATTAAAATAAAAGTGAGACTGAAGGCAGCGTGAGAACAGCCCTGCTGGCTGGGGACCGGCCACAGGCGCAGGTAGCAGCCGGGGTCACCGCAGGGAGCGGGGCTGTGCGACCACATCCTCTCGCAGCCAGGACCAGCGGCCGTGCTGACGGACCCAGGGGGGGTGAAGTGGCCTCGCTTCGGGTCAGCCTTGCTGCTCTCGGCTCCTTTTTAGCAGAAAAAACCTGGCCGAGCACCCGTGAGAAAGCTCCAACAGCCCAGCGCCGGACCCATCCTGTCCGGGAGGGTTTTGGGGGATAAGACCTGGGTGTTCCCAGCACGGAGACCCGGTCCCTGCTCCCCCAGGGGTTCACAGCAGCCGAATGCCACCACCTCCTGTCCCCTCTCCGTCACAGCCACCCCATAAGGCACAGACACGCAGCGCAGCCCCTGCTTTTAGGGGGTCAGAGCAGAGCCACGCACCCCAAAGCGCCCTCAGGACCCCATCCCTGGGGGCACGAGGGGCACACACAGCCCCCTCGGAGACGCTCGGTGACACAGGGCCCAAATTCAGCCCGTTTTCTAAAAACCCCACTCCCAGCACCAGCAGAGGCCGGGCTCTGCCTCTCCTCCACATGGGGCTGGGGCCACCACACTGCTCCCACCCAAACCCCCCCTGCCCCACAGCAACAGGGGCAGCGCTGCCCAGGACCTCGGAACTGCTCAGCATCAGGACTGCTGCCCGGCACCCTAAAACCCTATTTCCTGCACCCCCAGCACCCTAAAACCCCCACAATCCTATTTCCTGCACCCCCTTGTAGCCCTAAAACTCCCATCCCCACAAAGCACTGTGACCCTAAAGGTCCCTTCCCCGTGCACCCCTGTGACACTGAAACTTCTATCCCCCTGCACCCCACGATCCTAAAAGTCCCCTCCCCTGCACTCCCCACAACCCTAAAGCTCACATTCCCCGTAAGTCCCACGGCCTTAAAGCTCCCATCCCCTAAGGCTCACACCCCTGTACACCTCTAGAACCCTAAAATTCCCTTCTCCATGCACCCCCATGACCCCAGACCTTCCTTCTCCATGTACCCCCACAACCCTTGAACTCCCTTCCCCATACACCCCCACAACCCTAAGACTCCAATCCCTTACACCCCAGAACCCTAGAAGTCCTATCCCCTACGACCCTAAGACCCCCTTCCCCATACACCCCCACAACCCTAAGACTCCACTCCCTTGCACCCCACGACCTTAAAAGCCCCATCCCCTACGACCCCAGGACTCCCTTCCCCATGCACCCCATGACCCTAAACCTTCCTTCCTCATGCACTCCCGCGACCCTTAAACTCCCATCCCTATGCAACCCTAAAACTCCCTTTCCCGTGCACCCCTACACCCCTAAAACTCCAATCCCCTGCACCCCACGACCCTAAAACCCCCATGCGGGTGCAACCCCAAAACCCCCCAACCCCTTACACCCCCACTCCCCTAAAACCCCCATTTTTGTGCCACCCTACGACCCCCCTCCCCTCACCGCCCCACGCCCCAAAACCCCCGTTAAAGCCCCAAAACGGCCCCATAAACACCCCCGCCCCATACCTGCCGCCGCCCCGCTGCGCGCTACCCGCACCCGGGCGCGCCGGCGCGCCCTTATAGCCCCCCGCAGGGCGCGCCCTCCTCTTAGCCCCGCCCCTTCTCCTCTCAGCCAATGAGCGGCCGCGCTGCCTCGCCCCTCGCCCAATGAGGGGCCGCCCAGTGGGAGCGCGCGCGGGATCTCGCGCCGCTTTCTGTGAAGCGCGCGCCTTTCCGGGAAATCGGCGCGGCGCGGCGGGGCGGCGCCCGGGCAGACAGAGCGGGGCTGTCGCGATCCCTGTCGCGATAGCGGGCGAAGTCGCGATAGCGGGCGTAGTCGCGATCCCCGTCCCGATCCTGCTCGCTGTCGTGGCACCGCAGCCGCCGCCGGGGCTGCTGTCGTGGGTTATAAAGGGGGAAATGTGGCCTGGGGTCACCGAGGTCAGGGGTCACTGGGATCAGGGGGTTTAGGGTCAGTTGGGGGTTGGTGGTCCTGGCACGGCCCGGGTGCAGGAGATGCAATACCCCCCCCGCCGGGACAGCCCTGCTGCAGTTAATTGGGTTTCCCCTGCGGTTCCCAAAGCTCGGGGTGATTTGGGGGAATGCTGGGGTCCCGGGATGGTTTTGGGGTGGGTGGGAGTCACAGGGCGGGTGCTGGAGCAGGCCGCACGCAGCGCCGGCTGGGAGGTTATCTCACCTCCTGCACCTCTAATCTCTGCTTATCTCACATCTCCGATGACTTCCTATTGACACCAGAAAGCGGCTTTCTTCTCGTTTTCCTGCGCCCCGGTTCCATTTTTCTGCTTCCTAAAATGCCAGCCGAGGCGCTGGAGGCGATACCTGCGAGGTCTGCTCGGCTCCCCACCTGCCCCCCCTACAAACCATGGCAGCTCTAGGGCACCAGGCAGCAAAGGAGCCCTGTCCTCGACGTGAAAAAATAGGGAAAAAAATCATAATTCTTCTCCCAGGACCCCGCAGGCTATGGCTGAGCAGCAGCTCTTCAAAATTTGTAATTTTTTCTGGTGGTTTTCATGGAGAAAATGGAAATCAGGGCGCAGCGGCCGCGTCGATCCATCCCTGGCTTTAATCAGCCTCCCCTTTCGGATGGGCTTGGCAACTTGTCCCTGACGTTGTCACCCTTGGAGACTCCAGTACCCAGAATTTGTCGTTAAGGGAATTCCCAGAAATATTTGAAATGCTTTTTTTTTTTTTTCGCAGAACCGATTTTTTAAGAAGCTGAGCAACGGAATTATAGAAAAAAAAAATAAAATAATACAGTGTTTAGGGCTGCTGGGACACACAGCGTCTGTGTCGATGGATGGATGGGGGGGGCGGCTGGAAATCCACAGCAAATAAAGGACTGGGTCCTCTTGGGGTGAAAAGGACCCTGGAAAGGGATTAATGCAGGGTGAACGGGAACAGTTTGGTTTGGGAATGATTTATTCTTCCCGTGCATTGGGACCGCTGGACACGAGGCCAAGCGGAGCAGCTCCAGCCCCACACGGCCCCCCCGTGGGGCTGCTCCCCTGGCAAAAGCAGGCAGGGAGCACACATTTTGGAAATGTGAATGCTTTTCCAGCACGGAACCCGATGAATTTTTCCCTATCCCCATGGGTTCAGCTCAGGGCAATGCCACCAATCCCTCAGGACGGAGCCAGCAGCCAAAGGGGGGGCAGCAAGTCCTGCTCCCCCCCAGCTCCAGCCCTGCAGCTGGGCTCACCGGGGCGCTGTGAGCCCCGAAACGAGTGTCTGGCAAAGTGGATACCGAATTTTGCCAGCCCCAAGGCCAACGTTTGAGCTCAGCTGCTCATCCGTCGGCTTCGGCTGGGGGGCAGCGGGGGGGTGGGCACCATGGGGGCAGCCCAGGAGCCCTCCCTGTGCTCCCCCTGCTCTTGTAGGGCCAGCAGGCGCTGCAGCTCCTCCTGGTCCTTGAAGGGGTTCCTGCCGTAGTCCCGGCGGATCCAGGCACGGTACTGCTGGGACAGAGCCAGGTGAGGGGCCGGGGTCACCGGGGGCTGTGCCGGACCCCCCCGGTGTTGTGCAAAGCCCTAAATCAAGGCAGGGCATCCCAACCAGGACACGGGGTGGCCACAGACCCAGCCCCTGTTTGGCAGGAGCAGCCACGCCATGCAGTGTGCACACATCACACGAGACATGCAACCCCTACAGCAAACCCTACAGGAACACCACCAGCCCCTCGGAGCACCCCAGACCCACAGAGCTGGCAGCAGCCCCGTTTTTCCCCCCCCGTGGTGCAGCCTCCAGCAGCTTCGTTCCCTTTCCCTTGCCAGGAAGCTGCTCGGCTCTTTGCAGGGCTGAGTTACCAGAAGCAAAGCGTCCCCACGCTTTCTCCCTGCTGGGACAGGCCGGCCTCGCGGCCCCAAACACCACGGGCAGGTCGGCTCTTGCAGGCTGAGCCGGGCTGTTTGCAGAGCGCTTTGCTCATCTCAGCCCTTCTCCCGTCCCCGCAGAGGCTGCGCCGGCGTCCGGGTGGCTTGGGGCCAGCTGGCACCCGGCGGAGATCCGGAGGCGGCTTCGGAGCAGGAGATGGCCCCGTGGAGAGGCTTCCCGACACCGCCGCCGCACGGAGCTGCGGGATCCCTGCCCAGAAGCGTGGGCAGGGGAGGGCAGCTCGGCTGGAGCCGCTGTGCCTGCTGCCCCGTGCCTGGGAACGGCTTCAGAGCATGGCAAAGGAGCGGGGACCCGGCCAGCAGGCACCCAGCCAGCAGGGCGCACGGGGAGGAGCGGCCAGAGAGGGGTGGCTCGTGCCCAGCAGTGCGAAACGCTCTGCAAAGCGCACGGAGAGAGCGGCCAGGGATGGGAAAGCTGCAGGGGGAAAAGGGTGGAGTGTCCGGCCCCCGGCAGCACCCATGGGTGCCGCCAGCAGGGCCGGCATTCAATAGCTGGGAGCACTGGGACAGGCGTCAGCTTCAGGGGGCTGTTAAAACATCCTTGTTTTTTGGGGCTGGCAGCTCCCACGTGCCCCGGCCTCGGTGCCCCCCAAACAGCTCCGGCTTCCTGGGATCGGAGGAAAGACAGGAGAAAGCCTGAGAGCAACCCCGGTGGCTTCGCCACTCCTACAGCTGGGGAAAATCAGCTCGGGCAGGGGGATTTCCAGTGGGAATGCCTGGAGTTCCCAAATCCACTCACCCCGCCGGCGGGACTCACCGGCAGCTGCGTGCCGGGGGCAGGAAGCCCCGGTGCTGCTCGGGGTGGGGGCCAGCGACGATTTCCTTGCTAAAAAAACAGTGGCTGGGAACCTCAGCGCTTCCCAGGGCGGATATCCCAGAGGCCGGACTGGATTTCTCCTCTCCTCCTCCTGGGCAGTGCCTGGAGCTGCCTGCTCGCCCTACAAACACCGGGACAGCTCCTGGGTACCCACAGGGATATCCTGGTGCCTTGGTGCCTTGCAGCCCGGGCTGTGGCACAGCGGTGAGGGGCACGCATCCGTGCACGGTGCTGGTGGTGACAAAGCACCCGCAGGGATGGAGGTCCTAGGGGGGAGCAGCCTGGCCACCGAGATTTGGCACCCACCGGGCAGCTCGGAGGGCGCAGCGGGAAGCGCCCCACGGTGCCGCCAGGTGCTGGCTTAAAAATAAATAAATAAATAAAAAAGGAGCCCTTGCAAGGAAAATGCCATTTTTTAAACTTTGCACCTCACCAACGCGCAGCCTGACGCAGCCGCCGGTGCTTCCCAGGAAACGTTTGCAAAGCCCGCAGCGAAACTTCAAATCAAAAAAAAAAACAAACCCGAAGAAAACGTGACCTGTAAGGGGAGGGGAAGGGCAAGGGGTGTTTGCTGAGGCCACCCAAACGCTGGGGGGCAGGAGGAATAAGTGGCCAGGGGGCACGGCGCGCCCCGTGTCACAGCGGGCACTGGGACGTGGCCAGGGCAGGGTTGGGGAGCGTTGGCCCGGCCGGGGGAAGCCCTGCAGGGAATCTCCAGCTCCGGGGGTTTTGCAATGCCCTGGACCACTCTCCCCCCTTCCATGGGGCGTTTTTTGCAAGGCGGTGACAGCCCCAGCAGGGCCACGTCCCTCATGTGATAGCGCCAGGAAGGGGCTGACGCTTGGGCCACTGTCACATGCTGTCCGGCCTGGGAGGAGGGGACAGAAATCCCCTCGAGATGCTCCTCGTCCTCATGTGCTGGCCCTGGGCTGCAGCAGACAGGGACATCGGGGTTTTGCCACCCCATAGGGTGCTGCTGCGCTAAATCCCGATGATGTGCTTCGCTTGGGGTAGGAGAGAGAACTTTTCAACCATCCCTTTGACTGTTTCCATCTCTCAGCTGCTTCGAAAAGCAGGGGGCATGCTGTCAGAGGATGCCCAGCCCCATCCCAGGACGCCCAAAGCACCCCAAAGCTGCTTGCAGGAGCCTCCCCCCGTCTCCTGCCCCCTGCCCCGTGCGCCCCTGGTGCCAGCTCAGCGCCACCTCCACCGTGCCCTAGCAAAACCCCGAATAAAACAAGAGCACCGGGGCTTTCAGCAGCTTCTTCCAGCACGCTCACACAATGCCTGGGCGCTTTTTAATTTTGCATGCATGCAAAAACAAAGCCCGCAGGTAATAAATAGCGCGCAGGCAAAGCAGCCGCGGTTATTTGCAAAGCACACGAGGGGAGCTCCAGCTGCAGAGCCCGGCCTTTGGCACGAGGTTGGTGCGAGGGGGACCCCACCTCGTCCAGCAGGGTGCTCTCGTAGTCCCGCAGCTGCTGCTGGAAGCCGGGGTTGGGGCTGGCGTAGGAGCGCACGGCCCTGGTGGCGGCCAGGCAGCGCTCCCAGCCCAGCTCGGTCACCGTCATCAGGTAAGCCACCAGCACCGTGGTGCTGCGCGAGACCCCGGCCAGGCTGCCAGGGGCAGTGGAGAGGTGTCAGGAGGAGGTGTCACCACCACGGGAGCCCCACGATGAGGGATGCCCATGGGGTGCGTCCTCGCAGGGCCAGGGATGCTTGCCCGGCTGTGGGTAGGGGATGGAGGCGCACGGGCATGGTGGCACTGGAGGTGCCCGTCCCATCTGGTGGCACTGGAGGTGCCCAGGGCATCTGGTGGCCCCAATCAGGCCACGTCCCTGTGTCCCATGCCCTGCCCATCTCTCTGGATGCTCAGGTTTTGGGGCACGGAGCATCCCCAGCATTGCCCTAACACCGTTCCTCATCTCCTTTCCCTCCCCACCACGAGCGATGCTCCGCACCCAGGATGCTTTTTGGGATCCCACCTCCCAGCCCCACAACCCTTGCGCAGCCCCCGTGAGCACCGGGGACCCTCCCTCCCTCCTGCACCTCCCCCGGCAGAGACCCTTTTCCCCCAAAAGCGGGGTCTCGAGGCCATTTGGAGGCTCTCACCAGTGAACGAGGCAGCCTCCCCCGCGGAGCCGGCACTCGTGGATGAACTTGATGCACTCCTTGAAATGCTGCATCCTGCGGGGAGAGAGGCAGCAGAGTGAGGCCGGCAGCAGCCGCAGTCCTCCCCAGGATTTCCCTGGGGCTGGCGCAGGGTGGGAGCCACTGCAGGGTTCCCCTGCCAGAGGAAGGGACAGCAGCCAGGAAGGAAAAGGCCTGAGAGGCTTTTTGGGGGGATTTCCTGCTTCCCGAGGCACTGGGATGGAGCAGGGTGATGCCAGCAGCTCAGCCAGCCTGGGGAGGATCTGGTGGCTCTGCCTGCAGGGCCAGGTCCCCCCCTTGGCACCCATGGGGCGCACACCCCAGCGCTAAAACCACCCTGCAGGGGAGAGGCGCGTTCCCAAAACCTGCATTCCCGAAAGACCCAGCGATGGAAAACGGGTTAAAATCACTCTTTATACATAAATGAATTAAAGGTGGGTGCAATTCTCTGTCTCTGAGGACACAGAGCACCTCGGACAGAGCCCACGGAGCTGCTGCTTGGGCTCCTGACACAAATCTGCAACAAATCCTGCTGGCACCAAGCCCCGGGGTCCCGGTCAGCCCCGCCGTGGGTGCTGGGTCCTGGACTTCCTCTGCTGCCTCCGCGTGACGGGGCCGGGGCAGCGCCCACGCAGCCTTCCTGCTTTCTCAGAAGCTCAGAGGCTCGCCTCTCGCCCCCGCGGCGTCCTCCTGAGACCCCCTCGGAGCAAGGCAGAAGCCTCCAAAAACTCCCCCCTGCCTCCCGCCTGCCCGCCGGGGATGCTCGCGGCCCTTCTCTGGAAGCGCAGGGCTCGGGTGCCTTCTAAGAAGCCAACCCAGGACATACCCAAAAATAGCAGGGCTTTCTGCTGCCCGACACCCAGCAGGAGGACACCCGGGGGATTCTCTGAGGCTGTGGTTATAAGAAAAATGTTTGGTTTCTCGGCCCTAAGGGGAGATGTCAAATCCACCGCTCGCTGTGGGCTCTGGATGCGCCTCCCCGTCCACCCCCGCAGGCAGTGAAGCACCTCCTGGGGGGTTTCTTGGCCCAAAACGTGTCCCAGGGGGGTTCTCCTCATCCTATCCATCCTCACAGAGCATCCAGGGCGTGCCAGTCACCACCTCCTCAACCCTCACAGCCCCAAATCCCAAGTCCTCCTCTTCATCCCTTGGCTGGGACCCGGCTGGTGCTGGGCACATGCCCCACCGCACTCAGCCACCCCCTCCCACCCTCTCCAAGGGGGCTCTTCCCAAACTGGTCCCCCAGCGGAGAGCTCCCACTGGTCCCACAGCCCACGGGACTGGTGAGGCCGAGCCCCGAGTCACGAGCAGCTCTCCCCCGTGGGCCGCCAGGCTCCCCGGGGTTGTGAAAGCCCCGGCGCAAAGCGAGGAGCAGAAAATAGTTCCCTGAATAAGCCTTCCTTCCGGCCCCTTTCAGGAGCCACGCCGCAAATGCGAAGAGGGGAAAAAAAATTAAAAAAATAAAATAAAATAACCCCAGCCCCGTGTTCCTGCTGAGGCAGGGCTTTCTTGTAAAGCTTCTCTTTCTGCTCAGCGTGAGCAAGCAGAATCCTGCCCGCGGCGCTGGGAAAGCAGCACCTCCACAAACGGGGCCACGGCACGGGGACCTTCTGGCCTTTTAGGGGTGGGGTGGTAAGAAAAAATCCCCCAAATCACCCGTTTTCTGGGTGCAGCGGGGGGTTCTCGGGTGCCCGTTGCCCCAGGCGGGCAGCACGCAGCGCCTGCAGCCAGCACGGCCCCAGCGCTTCTTGAGATCATCCTTAAAGGAGTTATGGGGGAAATACTCATTTTAATCAAAATTTCCTTTCTCTCCCAAGGAAAATACCTGGGAGAGCGACACAAATCACTGTGTAATTGATACGAATCATTGCCCTTCCACGCCAGCGAAGCATGCTCCGATTTCAGGCCCCACCTAATAAAATAATTCTGATTTTTGATGGAAAATTAATTGTACTGTGAACACTCTGAGAATCAGATTCAGCCCCTACACACACCACGAGCCGTGGCTTTCACCAGGCTCAGCACAAAATGCTGGCAGCGTGACCGACCCGAGCACACCCGGTGCAGAATTTGGGCTTTTATTGACCAACAGCTCCCAAAACGCCACCCTGGGAGGCAAAGGGGGTGCCGGGGACTTACAGGTTCTGGCTGGAGGAATCCGAGGCCGAGATGCAGAGGTAGCTCATGTCCTGCAATGAAAAGGCAGTGAGGGCAACGAAACCCCTTGGAGAGCCACAACCTCGTCCATTTTCTCTTTTCTTTTTTACGTGAGGCTTGGAGTAGGTGACTCTAGGGGTAAAACCGCTTAAAATGGGATTTTCAAGAGGGAGGAACTTTTCAGAGGCAGGATTTCCCCAGCTCTTCCCCGTAATTTCAGGTAGGAACCAGGCCGGACCCAGCCACATTTCAGAGGCACCCAAGGGTGCCGAGCGATGCCCTGGAGCCTCCCCAGGTCCCAGCCCTGTCCCTGTCCCCTCTCCGGCGGCTGCTAAGCCCCGGCAGGACAACGTGTGCCAGCACGCACTCATGAGGTCACCCTCATCAATGAGTTATTTCCTCCTGGTCCCTTTTAATCCACCATAAATCACCCCGCCGTAGGTCAGCTTGCTTGAAAACGTCGCTTCCTTGATCCTGTTCTGAGCTAAAATTAGCCCCTTTTCATCTGAGCTTTGCTTTTTTTCTTTTTTTTTGTTGTTTTTCTTAGCAAAACGGGTGGGAATCCTGCCAGATGGGGCTGGCACAGCCCAGCACCAACACACCCCATCCCCATCCTCATGTCGCCACGACCCGAGGCCGCCCTCGCTTCCCCCCAGCCCAGGCCAAAGGAGAAGGCTGGAAAAAAGCTGATTACCCAAGGGAATTAGCAAAGGGAAGGAGAGAAAGGTAGAACGGGACAGGCACGGCCATGGTGGGGACATTCCCAGGCTGGAAAGACCCACGTTGTGAGGAGAAATGTGTGGGGGCTTTTCTGAGCATCTCCCCTCCATCCCAACACCCTCCCTGCGCCCACCCCTGTGGGATGAAGCCGAGGGGCCACCCACGTGCCCGGCCCTTCCCCGTGGCGTGCCAGCTGGGTTCCTCATCCCCGGGCAAACCACGGCTCTCCGGCACACAGGGGAAGGAGAAAAGGAGCCGTGGTGCAGCTGGGAGCAGATTTCACGGGATGAGCCACCACGGGCTGCGGCTTCCCAGCACCTGGGGAGGTGCCACCAGGAAAGCCACCGTGCCAAGCCACACGCAGAGCCCACCCAGGGCTCCCAGCAGCTTTCCCCTTTCCCCACAGCCCCCCAGGTGCCCCCCATCCATCCCGGCACGGGGAGGGGAGCCGTGCTGCATGCCTGGGAACAGCGCTGGGGTTTGCGGTCCCCGGCCGGGGGCCGTGATTGACACATTGCTCAACCCACCATGCTTTTCCTGTTCCCCTTTCCTCCAGCCCCAGCTGCCCGTGCGGTTTGCTGCCCGCCTGGCCGTGCCCAGAGCCCCAGCAGCTCCAGCTGCACCACACGACCCCGAGCCGGCCGTTCCCATGCCCCCCGTTTGGTGCATCTTCCTTCTCCTCTCCCCGTTACCCAACGCCTCCAGGTGTTGTTTCGAGCTGGCAGAGACGGGCAGCACTCGCCCTCGGTGGTGCCAAGAGAGTGGGGTCCCAGGAAAGTGGGATCCCAGCCGTCCCCATTGCCTGCTGTAGGATTTCGGGGCCAGGACGGAGGCCAGCTCCAGCTGCACACCGCGCAGATCCACACCAAGAAGAGCAACGAAGCCCCCAGGATCTCTCATTCTCACTCGTGCACCAGCTCACCCCCACTGCACAGCCCCGGCCGAGCACCCTGCACCCACCCCATATCCCCCCCTGCCTCAGTTTCCCCTCTCAGACCCTTTCACCTGCCCTGCCACAGTGGGTGGGGGCACCCAGGGGTGCCACCAGGACCTCGGGGACAGGACTGCCACCGCCGTGCTTTTAGGGATCCTCATTTCTCAGCCCCAAACCCGACCCCAGAACCACAGCAGCACCAAAAAAAGAGGGCATGGGGTGGGAGCCCAGGATCGAGGGGGGTCCCCACGGGCTTCACAGGCTGCCCCGGGGCAGGGGGAGCACAACAAGCCCCGGGGGCTCCCCAAAATCCCCATCCTGCGCTGCTTGGGCTGGATGCGTCCCCGGCGCTGCCGTGCGCGGGGCACCGCTGCCCTCTCGTGGCCCCTGCCCACGGCAGCACCACGGGGCCGGGCACCCCCTGCCTCCAGCTGGATTTTTTTCCCCCAAATCCTGCCAGGAGGCAGCCGTGGTCCCTCATCCACCCCGCTCCCAGCGCTGGGCGCAATTTGGCACCGCTCGGTGCCAAGGCAGCGTCGCCATCCCCTCGGCGTGCAGCAGGAGGTGGGCACTGCGTCCCCTTGGCACCAGCTGGCACCACGTCCCGGCCTCACCACGCAGCCCCCCCGAGCCCCCAGACTCACCTCCAGCACCGGTTTGGCTCCGGTGTGCACGGAGAGGACGTGTGTCACGCCGTGCCTCCGCAGGCTGGCCACGTCCTCCGAGTCTGGAAGCAGGAGCGAGGTGTGAGAGGTGGCCCTGCCCGCCCGAGCTGCTCCACCGAGCCCTCAGCACAGCCCACAGCCATCGTCCTCATCCCCAGGGTGATGCAGGGAGGCCAGGCTTGGGTGAAAAATACCCAAAATGAATGGCACAGAGCCCCCAGGATGGCCCTAACCCTGGAGCGGGATGGAACCCAAGCCAGGTGTCAGCCCCGCTGTAAATATTGTCCTGGCAAAACCCTCTCTGGGGTTGGAACTGAACGATTTTTAAGGTCTTTTCCAAGCCAAGCCAAGCCATTCGAAACGCAGGGGAGGCTTCCAGCCAGTGGGGTCCTCATCGCTCAGCTGTGGGGACCCCACAGGTGTCCCCTTCCCGTGCCCCGGGGGCAGCTGCGCACTCACCGCGGATGTTCCCCAGGTAGAGACCCGTCACCACCTGCGAGGAGACAGAGGGGACAAGGAACAGAGCTGGCCCTCCACGTGCCACACCATATTTTTACTTCCCGAGGCCCAAAACCCCAAATGCTCATCCCAAACCAGCTCCAGCAGGGACCCCATCACCCCGGGAGCGGGCTGTGGTTCGCTTTTCCACGGCCACCTCCTCCTGCAAACGGTTCCAAAGGTTGCCTCCACCAGCTGGGGACAGATGGGCAAAAGCACGGGCTGTTTGTGGTTATTTTCTGGCCGAGATGTTGCAGTAAGTGCCTTTTACTCAGATTTTGTCTCCAGCTCTCTGCCACGGTTTCCAAATTACATTTATCCCGCGTGCTGCAGCGTGGCTGTCCCAGAGTTTAATTTTATACCGGGCGAGGCACATCACGAGCAGCTATTTAAGGGCACAAACAGAAATTGATCCTCTCCAAAAGCCCTGAGCACCAAGCACCAGCTAAAACCCCCCCTTTGCCCATTCACAGCACCCTGCAGCCGGGCACGGATACATCCAGGAGGTGACCAAGGGAGGAAAATTCTCCCTGCACACCCCCCAGGACCCCCGGCAACCCCAAAGGTGTTAATGCCGTGGAGTTACCGCCCGCAGGATGAGCATCAAAGCCAGCTCCTGCTTTTTAGGCACCCCGAGGCACCGAGCTCATCGCTGGGCTATAAAACAGGGTCGGTGCTTTAAAGAGGGTGGGGGGAATTCCCTTCAAGTGCTTGAAGTTTGAAGGGGGGTGAGAAAGGGACGGTGGAAATGGATGCGTTTAGGGCACCACGGTGGCACCCCCCAATAAAGCAGAAGGGCCCAGTACCTCCCAGTCCCCCCAGTACCTTGCTCATCCCGCTCCCCATGGTTTTTCTCTCCCCGGGTTCAGGACTCGGGCAGCCTCTTGGTATCCGGGGCTATCTGCAAATAAACACCCCAAAATCCCAGGTGAGGGGAGCACGGGGAGCCCCACCGAGCTCAGCCCACTGAGATCTGCTCCAGCTCCTCGCCACCGCGCTGCTGGGCAAAGGGATCGGGGCCAGCGGCTGCTGTAGGGCAGGGGAGGACAAAATAAGGACCCGGGGCCGTGGCGAGGCTCAGGTTTCCCTTCCGGACTCCCCGGCTCGCCAGGGCTTTTGCAGAAGCTTGGCATTTTGGGGAGAGGGAAGAAGAGGACGCCTGGGATGCTGCGAGCTGGTGCAAGCGGTGAGCTTGGCAGGATTTCTCTCCCAGTCAGGCTAATTCCTTCCAGTCGCAGGAATGGGAATAAAAATTGTAGAATGAGGCACTTACCTCAAAAAAACAGAGCGTGGCAGGCTGCTGGAGCAGCAGCAGGGACGAGCCCATCTCCCCCTCCTTGCAGCAAGGGAGGTGGGGAGAGCTGTAGGGCTCGTAACCCCAGCACACGCTTCCAAAAATCACTCCTCAAAGATTTATCCAGCAGCCCAGCACCCACCTCCCAGATCGATACTGTTGGCCTGTCAGAGGCTATATAAAGAAGAAAAAAAAATAGAAAAAAAAGGAAAGAAGCAAATTTAATTCGATTTAATGGCTTTGATCTCTGGAGGCAGCTCTAAAGCCAAAGGCAGGAGCCTGCCTGCAGGAAGCCAGGCCACGCGTTGGTGGGGAGCCCCAGGGAGAGAGATTCTGTGATTCTGTGAAATTTGGCAGCCCCAGGCAGAGCAGAGGTGCCAGCCTTCATGGCTCAGGCCCTGAAAACACCAAGCTATGCCTGAGCTCTAGAGCAGGGCTCGCTCTGCATCCAGTAAAATGCCTGGGGTACTCCCAAAAAGGGTGGCGTTTGTGTCCCTCCCCAGCTGCAGCTGGAAAAGTGGAGGAGAAAAAAACAAACACAGAACCAGGCTCCCTTCGCAGGGAGAAGTGGAATATCCCCACCACGTGCCCTGCTCTGATCCACCCCGCTGCCTCGCGGAGCTCTGCCGAGCTATTTTTGGGGCTGTTATGGGACACGGAGCTGGGATCCGCTTGCCTTACACGTAGCTCGGGCCTCTGCAGCGCGACTCCTGGCTGGATCCCAGAATCATGCCCTTAAAGAGGTGAGGGAAAAGGCAGCGCTCCTCCCAGGAACCTATTCCTGCCACAGAAAAGCTGCGTCTGGGCTGAACGCTCAGCACCATCCCCCTGCAGAGCTGGGTGAGATTTTTGCTGCTTGAATTCTGACAATCTGAAGCGTTTTCAATGAAAAGTGTTGTATTTGAAGCAAACTGACTGTCACCTTACTCATTTCCCCCAAGAAACACGAGTGTTTCATTCCCTTTTACCAATTAACGCTCCCTACACATCAGCCACGACAGGACTGCCTGGAAAAACCCTTCCCCCTCACGCTGCTCTACAAATTCCCGTCCCAAAGGCACCTGCAGGTCAATAAAAAGGAAACCTTCAAGTTAACCAGAGGTTTATTATCATCTATTTAGGTGGAGAGGTTGTTCCAGTACATGAGCAACGAGGTCACACGCAGGTGATGGAATCATTTCATGTTCAAGCAGAGCAGGTTCCACTGAAGTCGCCTCACTTCTTCCACTCGTTCTTCTCGAAATCCCACTGGGAGGAAATGCCCTCCACGGGGTTAATTCGCATGTCCAACATTCTCTTCGTCTGCATGGACACCCACTCGTCAGAGAAGGTGTGCGGAATAGGGCCGTACACTGCCACGGGGGAGGAACAGAGACAAGCTGAGCAAGTGGGCGATGGGGGGACACATTTTGTTAATGAGACGCTTTTTCCCCCCAAAAAACAATCAATTCTGACCACCTGCACGCCATCACCCATCAAAGCAAAGCTCTCCGAGTTCAATTTTTGAAGCTTTCAGCTCAGCAGATTCCCACCTCGGTTCTGTTTGTACCAAGAGCCTCTTCCTAAATTTGGCTGGGCCCCCCCCCGACCTCCTGCGCTGCCCCAAGCCGCTGGGGGGCTCCCTCGCAGCAGGATCTTTGGCTGGGAGCAAAGCCAAAGGTGGCAGAAACCCAAATGTTTACAGCCAGAAAGGCAATAAGCTCGTGCAACAGCGAGTTTCACAGAGAGGGAAGGTCTGGGATTGTTAATTTATCGTTACTCTTTCCCCTCCCTTTCCTCCAAAGCTCCCTCCACAAGATTTAACTCTCCACGAGTCGATTTGCTGAACATTTTCGCTCCGTACCCACCTGTATCCATCCGGTCACAACCCCAGAGCTGAGTTTTCCAAGGCTACCAAACAGAAGCTCCCGTTCCACACACCGTTTTGAAACCCTGAACCCATTTATGGCAAGTTTCCTACCTCAGATGCCAACCGAGCTCGTAAATCATGCCGGAACACCCCTCAGCGCCCACTTACTGTAAATTTTCTGCCAGATGAGGATGACACCAGTTAGGCCAAGAAAGAACAGCACTCCCCCGAGGACGGTCTTCCATTCGTTTGTTCCTTTGTTCATTTCTGCATAGGTCTCGTTGAATTTGATGCGGTACACTGAGGAAAAAATGAAGCAAATAGTTTATTTTTTACTTTTCCTGCATCTTGCAGGCAACACCACACCTGCTAGAGGGAGGTGACCAAGGCCTAAAGCGGTCTGAAACGGAAGGGATGTTGGAATAGCTTTGGAATTAGCTGGCCTCTTCCATAAAAAGATCAAGTGCCAAAATAAAGGAGCTGTATTTCACATCATTTCTGTACTTCTCGTGAGCAAAGACAGTGTTGGTCTCACTTTATAAACGACCGTGCAGTTGTACAAAGGTTGCATAAGAGGCAAAGAGGAAGAAGAAACAAATTTCCTTCCCTGCCTGCAATTCCCAGTACAACCATTTACCACACAGCTCCCTAACACAAATGGTTTGAGCAGGAAACTGTGTGTTTAAAAGGCTTTGAGACTCCAGAGTTCAGAGCAGCATCAGATTTACGAAGTGTTTATGAACACCTGAGGGTTTTACACCTCCTGTCTGCTGCAGGTGGGCGCTGCGCTGCTCACAGGTCCTGCATTAGAGCACACGGGGTTCATTTTATTCAGCTTGACTAATAGGATTACATCTTGTTACCAAGAAGAGGGATTTTTTTTTGGCCTGTTGGTAACAGATTGCAATAAAGGAACAGCTGGGTATTTTTGGAGGAAAGGGAAGAGGCTGCTGAGCTTGAATTACCGCTAAGTTCCTTGTGTGAAAGGCACCACGTGCCCCGAGGCACCTTCCAGATACCAAGAGGTGTAATTAGAACACCTGCTGCACCTACCACTCATCTCCACCTGCGTACACACAAGGTTAATTAGCACAAAATTAACACAGGCTCTGTCGTGGCTGCTGCCTGACCACAAAGGCACTGAGCAGAGCGGCCTCGAGCGGTGCTGGGGCTGTCTGGGAGGGAGCCTGCAGGAAGGTGCAGCAGGTTCAGCCCCAGCGCTGCTGGCTGCGAGGTGATTTCAGGACTCACGTTCGACTTTCTCATCGACAGACAGAGCGGTCCAGGACGCCTTTTCCTTCTCCTTCAGCGCCTTCTGCTGAGCAGAGAGCTGCTTGACAAAGGCCGCCTCAGGCAGGGGAACATCGCGGCGATCGACGTACGCTGGGAGGCTGAAATCCTCGGCTTTGACAACACCAGCTGCCATCGGGAACAGAGACACAGAATCAAGCTCCTGACTGCTGCACAAACACCTCTTACTGGTTAAAATACCCCCCAAAAACCACAATGCCAGTTAAGCAACCCAGAAAGGAAAAGACAAAGCTCCCCCACGGGCGCTGCTCCATCAGGGCGAGAAGCCAGCCCTGCCCATCCTGCATCCTTCCCTTATCCCCATCCCAGCTGCGGGTGCCATCCTCCATCAGGAAATGCCACAGAGCAAGCCGGCCAAAAAATATATTGATCCCTACATGGTGATAGCTTCTCACATCACCCCGTGCAGCTCTACTTGGTGCTGGGAGCCAGCTCGTAGCTGGCACAGAGCTCTCCTCGGCTGTGAGGTCCCTAACGGCTGCGTTTTACGTTCTGCCTGTTGTTGTCCTCACTGAAAACAGAGCAGTGCCACCTACCGTGCCCGTGGGCCCTCAGGCAGATGGAGGTGGAAAGGGCCCTTCTCCCGATGAGGCTGAACGCCCTTGAAGCCAACATCCTGCCAGGGCAGAACAACAGCAGGTCAATCACTGACAAAAGAGGTCAGCAAGCACAGGAATTGGAAATAAAACAATAAAACCCATTTTTATTTGCCTATAGAAGAATCAGTTCAGGGGGAGCCCATTTTTAGTCTGCAGATGCTCCTGGTTAGCAGGGAGATGCTTCCACGAGCCCCTTCCCACCCTGTTTTCCATTGATGCCCTGTATTTGACCCCTGATCTCTTCCACGCCCATCCCAGGACCCCTTATTTGAGCTCTGACCCCTTCCAAACATAACCTAAGACCCTGTATTCGAGCTCTGACCCCTTCCAGGTCCACCCCAGGACCCCCATATTCGAGCTCTGACCCCCTTCACCCCCACCCCAGGACCCCCTATTTATCCCCTGACCCCCCCCCACCCTATCCCAGCGCCCCCTATTTGAGCCCTGCACCCCCCCACCAGGATTCCCGTTCCCCCCCCACACCCCCCGATCCCCCCCCGGCTCCCCTCAGCACCCCCCTTCACCCTTACCCACAACCTCAGCGCGTGACGTCACCCCAACGTGACGTCACGCCAACATGACGTCACCCCCCAGCACTCCCCTCAGCCGCAGGCCCAACCCCCACCCCCCCCTCCCCTCCCCCTCCCCCACCACCACAAGCGGTCACCGGGGCGGCCCCACCCGGGGCGGCCCCGAGCGGCTCCCTACGACCTCCCCGTGTCCCCCCAGTCCCTTTCGGTCCCCCCCGGTCCCTCCCAGGCCCCCTCCCGCTGCCCGCGGCCCCCCCCAGCCCGGCCGCCCCTCCGACCTGCCGACCGTCCTCTACGCCGGGCCGCCACCGGAAGGAGCCGCGGGACCGGAAGCGCAATGCACGCCGGGCCGGCCGCAGAACCATAGAGACGGCACCATCCAAACCGTCCCCCCTCACCTTTTACGCCCTTTTACGACAGCTCGGCGGACCCGGCGGCGGGGCGCGCTTGGCGGCGGCGGCGCGCTTGGCGGCGGAGGAGGCCGCCCCGTCAGGATGAGGCTGAGCACGCAGGCCTACTGCAAGATGGTGCTGCACGGCGCCAAGTACCCGCACTGCGCCGTCAACGGGCTGCTCGTGGCCGAGAGGCCCCCCCCCGCCGCCTCCCGGCCCGCCAGGGAGCAGGCCGCCGGCCCGGCCCTCTTCGTCGACTGCGTGCCCCTCTTTCACGGCACCCTGGCGCTGGCGCCGATGTTGGAGGTGGCCCTCAGCCTGGTAGGGGGGGGTTAAGGGGGGGTTAGGGGGGTTAAAATGGGGCTTGGGGGGGTTAAAGGCGGGTTAAGGGGGGTTTCAGGCCCTGGTTGGGTTGCTGGGGGGGGTAACGGGGTGTACGAAAGGGTTATGAGCCCGGTACAGGGGCGTTGGGGGGAAAAAAGGGGAGTTTGGGAGGGTTAAAGGGGGGTTTTAGGGCCTGGTTGGGTTGCTGAGGGGGTAAGGGGGTGTAAAAAGGGGTCATGAGCCCGGTATGGGGGGTTTTGGGGGGTTAAAGGGGGGTTTGGGAGGGTTAAAAGGGGGTTTTAGGGCCTGGTTGGGTTGCTGAAGGGGTAGGGGGATGTAGGAAGGGGTCATTAGCTTGGTATGGGGAGGTTGGGGAAGGTTAAGGGGGGTTATGGGGGGTTTCAGGCCTGGTTGGGCTGTTGTGGGGTAGGGGGGTGTTGGAAGGGGTGATCAGCCTGTTATGGGGGACCTGGAGGGGGTAAAGAGGGGTTATGGGGGGGTTTCAGGCCGTGGTTGGGTTGCTGGGGTGGGTAAGGGGGTGTACAAAAGGGTTATGAGCCCGGTACAGGGGCACTGGGGGGGGATAAAGGGGGGGTTGGGAGGGTTAAAGGGGGGTTTCAGGCCCTGGTAGGGCTGCTGAGGGGGGTAGGGGGTGTAAGAAGGGGTCATTAGCCTGGTACTGGGGGGGTGGGGGAGGTAAAGGAGGGGTTAAAGGGGAGTTTCAGGGCCTGGTTGGGTTGCTGGGGGGGTAGGGGGATGTAAAAAGGGGTCATGAGCCCGGTATGGGGGGTTTTGGTGGGTTAAAGGGGGGTTTCAGGCCCTGGTCAGGCTGCTGAGGGGATAGGGGGGTGTAGGAGGGGGTCATTAGCCTGGTACAAAGGGGTTGGGGGGGGTTAAAGGGGGAGTTTTAGGCACTGGTTGGGCTCCTGGTGGGATAGGGGGGATGCTGCGGGAGGTAGGGGGTGCAGGAAGGGGCCCTCAGCCTGCTTCAGGGAGGGTTGGGGGGGTTAAAGGGAGGTAAAAGGGGGTTTCAGGCTCTGGTTGGGCTGCCGGGGGAGTAGGGGAGTGTAGGAGGGGGGCCGAAGCCCCTGGTTTGGCTGCTGGGGGGGTAAGATGGTTGTTGGAGGGGGTAGGGGGAGGTAGGAGGAGGGCCCTAGCTCCTGGCTGGGTTTCTATGGGGGGTAAGGGGGTTAAGGAGGGGGGTAGTGGGGCGCAGGATGGGGTTCGTAGCTCCTGGCTGGGGTGCTGGGAGAGCAGTGGGGGGCTAAACCCTTAAGTGGAGTGCTGAGGGGGAGAGGGGGGCTGCTGGGGGGGGTCCTCAGCCCCTGGGTGGGTCACTTTTGGCTGGCCCGGTGGCAGTGGGATTTGGCTGAGGTTCCCCGGGGTGTTTTGGGGAATAAACCCTGCTGCCTGCACCCGCTGGGCATCTGAGGTCGTGGCGGGACCAGAGAAACGGCGCTGCTCTGTCGGTGCTCCTTGGTTTGGGTGGAAAAAGGCAAAGATGGGGAACGCTGCGACACTGCCCACGTTCATTAGGACCTGCTGAGACAGGTTGGAGTCCTAAAAATCCCCAAATCCTAAAAATCCTAAAAGTCCCAAAAATCCTAAAAGCATTTTTGATGCTTTTAGGATGCATGGAAGTGTTTGAGAAGATCCCGAGGCCTTTTGCCTCCTCATCTCTGACCTGAATTATCCCAGAACACCACAAGGGACCAAAAGTCTCTGTATTTCATCAGAAAATAACGCAGCGGAGCACAGTGTTTGCTGCCAAACCGACCCGTGGCACCTCCTGAAGGCTGCGAGGGGTCCGTAAGGGCAGCCTCAGACGCAGGAGCTTTTATTTTTAGCCTCCCCAAGTCGCTTAGGGAGCTCAGAACTGAAGCATAGGTTTTTTTTTAAGACCATTTTCAATAGGCAGCAAAAACTAAGACTATTTTATTATTTCTAAAACAATCATTTCTTTATTATTGTTATTTCTTCATCATTATTATTGCTTGTCTGGGCTTTTGGCCTTAATGCCAAGCTTTCACCCCACTACCAATTAAAATCAGAGTCCAAAAGCCTCCGAATGGCTTTGTAACTGAAACAGCAGTTGGCCCGCAGCTTTAGCAGGGCTATGTAGCTTTTTTTTTACCACGTAAATCCGTGTCATCCCTCGTAGAAGGGGGATTATTTACGTGGCTTTTGTTTTTCTGCAGCCTAATGCTGTAATTATTCCTCAAGCTGCGATTGATTTCACTTGCAGGATGCCACAGATGCATTTTTGGATCCATTTCGATGCAGCCGTTGAGGTTTTTCTGATGCCTGCTCTCTAGGGACAGCCCAGGAAAGTTCCAGCTGCCTTCTCCCTTCTTGTTGCTGTGCTGGGTTATCAGGAATCCCCTCGTGTCCCTGTTCCCAAAACACAGCCACGTCTGGGACGGGGCAGAGAAGCACAGCAGCAGCTCCTTTATCAAGCCCCGATCTGGTGGCCGAGCTGGGGCGTGTTTTTAGCAGGGCGTTGGGTTTGGGCTGGAAGGTTTTAAAGCGTGGAAAATCCTCCCCCGGGCTTGGGTGGTTAATTGCTGCTGCAGGCGACCTCTCAGAGAAACACTTGGGTTGCAAAAGGCCTTTTTGCACCAGAGGGAGTTGAAAAACTGGTAAAAGCCGCGACCTTTTTCTGCCCATGACCTTTTTCTGCCCACGGGTTTACCTCTCACTTGGAGCTTTGTTTGCTCATTAGGTAAATGACGCTCACGCTGTGCCCCCAAGTGCTGCAAAACATCCACAAAGAGGTGGGACCTGGGCTCCTCTCCCAGGCTCAGTTCTGTCGCTCGAATTCGGGCTGGGATAAATGAGCAAAAGAGCAAGAAATGGGTTAATTTTATGTCATTCCCCAAAGGTTCAGCTTCATTTCTCTGCCCAGGTACATCGAGCTGTCTGTGTGCACACGGAGATGTCTTTGCCAGTTGCTCCCCATAGGGGATTTCCTTATTTCTGTGGTTTTTTTTTCTTTTTTTCATTCCCAGGCTTAATTGTTCCCATTCCTTTTCCAGATTGACTCGTGGTGCAAGGAGAACAGCTACGTGATCGCTGGCTACTACCAGGCAAACGAGCGTGTGAAAGATGCCAGGTGTGTTGGGGCCACATTCCCTCCCGCTCGCTCTCTTGCGCTGCGTTTTGTGCTCTGCCAAGGGCAATCACGGGCAGAAAACCTGCGTGCTGCTCCACCATGCCAGCTGTGTGCTTCTTGTCCTCATGGTGCCGGTGTAACTGCGGCTGTCAGGGCAATAGCCAGCGTCTGCTGGCGCTGTGAATATCTCATAAACCCAAACAACTCCCCGTATCTTTTTGGAAGGTCTTAGAAGTGACCTAATTCTTACTAAACTGCTGAACCGTCTCTGGTTTCGGTTGTGGTTGTCGTTCTGAATCACTTTCTGACACGGTAAAGGTGCAGTCTTGAAATGGAAGAGGGTGTCAGTCAAGCAGAGATCCTCTTCACTTACTATTCTCCCTGGGAATAGTCTCTTTTTTCTTTTTTTTACCTCTTTCTTTTCCCTCCCCCACGCTAGCTAACTCAAATCACCAAACAAACAGCTGTGTTTATAACAAACTTCATGTGGAGCTGCAGTCTAGTTCTAGATGCGTGTATCAGATACTTGCCCCTCTATCAGACAAATCCAGTATCAGGACTCATGAGAGCGCGTCATGTTGCATTTAAAATAACTCTGAACAAGTTGTTTAAAGCGTTCTGCTCCGTTCCAGCTCCTTTGCTGATGCCTATCTTGGAGCCTCAAGTATATTTTTTAACTAGCACTTGGGATTGCTTGGGTATCTGGCGGGGATGCGGACGTTGCCCTTTCCTTACAAGGGAAATGCAGATCTGCTGGTGACGTTTTTGAAGGAGAAGAGGCAGTTTGTTCCCTTCGGGGTTTGAAGGACTGTCGTGGGCTTGTTTCTTTTAAAGCCAGACTTCATTTGTTGAAGATAACTCTGGCACCACGTAGAGATTGCCATCTTTGAAACAGTAAAGGCTTTTCTTTAGAAGATTATCCAGTGCTGTAGAGAAGCTGGCCAGTGAGGGAATTCAAACACAGGCTCAGATGAAGTTTCTCTTTTAAATGCCTGTCGGGGCGCAGGAGGCTGTGGTTCTCGGGCTGGTGGAAGGAGGTGGGAGGTAACAAAATCTGCACGCAGCCTGCAACGAGCACTTTGCTGCTCAGAAATGCATTGCCTCAGCATAGCTGAGCTTCAGGTCACATGCAAGAGAGGAGCTGAGGCTTTCTTGGCCATCTGCCTTCAATCAAGTGGAGCATCAGCTCGATACCTTGTTCCTGTTTAGTAGCGTGCCGTGTAATTCTCACAGCTCCTCGAGCACATTTCCTGCCGCTGCAGGCTGAGGCGTCACAGTTCAAATAACACAATTCCCTTTACCTTCCGCTGCAGTCCGAACCAGGTGGCTGAAAAGGTGGCCTCCAGAATCGCAGAGGGCTTTAACGACACGGCGCTCATTATGGTAAAGTGCTCTCTTTTCCTCTCTGTATTGTTGACATTGGGGCTGTGGTGCTGGGCTAACCACTTACGTGCAGCTCTGAGTGTCCTGCAGTGAAGTAACCACTTTGCTCTTTCCCCACAAGTGCTTTGGGGAAGAGGTACAGTGACTTGTGGCCCGTGTAGTTCTCAGTAAGTGGCTGTGGCTAGCTCTGCTGTCACCTCAAAGGAAGTGGAGACCTTCTCTGATTATGGGGTTTGAGCACAGTTAGTGCGTTCCCTATTTAGGACCCCTTCAGTGACTTAAATCCTTGTCTTTCATGAAACAAATTGAGCTCTGTGTCCTTGCCAAAGAGTCTTGGTGGCTTAAACCTAGAGAATCTGCCACATATGAAAGCAGACTGGTGCATGAATCAGTTTAAGGTGTCCTGCTTGTCAAACCTTGCTTTCAATTTCATCTCTTTACTCGGGGGAGGCTTACGAGAGTGTTTTCCTGCCGCACGCCAGGTTGATAACACCAAGTTCACGATGGAGTGCGTAGAACCGGCCATCCACGTGTACGAGCTCCATGAGAACAAGTGGAGGTGCAAAGACCCACACGTGTGAGTAAACGGCAGCGTTGGTTTGTGTTGAGGTGGGGAGGAGAAGGGCTTTGTGCTTTGAGGTCTGCGTTGTAGTGAGAGGGAGGGAGAAAAAGGGGTGGAGGGAGGAGGGAGGGAGAGAGCAGCCAGCTGCCTGAGGCCAGGCAGCCGTGTGCCTCCTAGCCACAACTGCGTTGCAGAGAATGTGCTTTATCTTCCCAAATGGAGGAGGTGGTGGGGGTTTTCTTTGTGATCGTTATTAATTCCCGGTTGTTTTGCCATCCTAGCGATTTCTGCGAAGATTGGAACGAAGCCCAGAGAATCGCTGCGTCGCTCTTGGACAGCAAGTCCTACGAAACACTTGTAGATTTTGATAATCACCTGGATGACATCCGGAATGACTGGACAAATCCGGAGATCAACAAAGCCGTCCTCCACCTGTGTTAGAGGGATTCCTACTGACTAACTTACGGGCGTTCCCACTATGTACTGAAGACATAAAAATGATATTTTTGAATGTAAATAGAGTAATATTCAGTACCTTGTGTGGAAAGCTGGCTGATTAAAAGAGTGGCGCGGCGCGTTGCCACGGGTGACGTGTCCGTAAGCTGTTGAATCCTTTTCCTGAGATTCCTTAGAAGAGCTGCACGCCGTCAGGTACAGCTGTCCCTGTGGATGCCTTCCCCGGTGTAGTGAATGTTGCTGTTCCTTCAAAACCAGAACTACTTCTGCTTATCCCCCGGTGTTCATATTAAAAGTTTTGACTAAGCTTTTGTACTCCTTAGAGAGAATGATTTTTAAAAGATTTCTGAGAATAACTTTCAAAAGATGGGTTTTGTCCTCAGATGGGGTATTTTGAGGTCAAATACATAAACAAAATCTAAGGTCAACTGTTTTGTTTTGTTTTTTTCGTGGCTTGGAAATGGCATTGTATCAGTACAGCAAGTGCAGACTGCTGAAGATGACTTTTTCCATGCACCTGTCACCTGGTTTGCAGTGGTTTTGTATGGCACAGCCACAGAAAATATGTTAAAGCTGCATTTTCAAATGCTACAATGATTTTCCTGCTGTCCTGAGGCATACAACCGCAGTCACTGACTGAGAAAATTAAACACAAAGTAAAATCAGATGTTCGCATAATGCTTTAAAAAAAATAATGGAATAATGATTTTGAATGGAAGTACTAAAACAGTTGGAGACTACAAAAAAAGAGCACGAAATATGATCGTATTACGGATTTTTGTTGTCTATTTTTAAACAGCTCTAATTTTCATCTGGTTCACGTGGTATTCATTGAAGTAAGCCTAAATTTGAAGGTGAATATCCAAGTACGTCTGAGTACGCTGTGTCGAGGACTCTAGATTGCACTTAGCCCAGCTTTTGCCTTTCTAACTTCCATTTGTTTCTAAGAATAAGCGTAGTTGTCAATGAGGAAGCTTTGTAGCTCTGTTTCCTCTTAGGTTATTTTTATTATATGTACTATTTTTTATCAGGTGCGCCACAGGCACTGTACCTGACCTGTGCCTGCTTTTCACTGCATTTCTGTAACAACTCAACAATGAATTTAATATTTATCCTCCAAATCCATTAAGACATTTAACACTTCTTACCACTAGCTGCTTCTAATGGAAGGAAACAGTCTTAGTCACCAGCTGGTGGTGGAGATTCTAGATTCTCTAGATTTTTCTTTCTTCCTAAAAATATTTTTACAATGAAGATCCCAAGGTCCAAGTCCTATTTTGGAAGTGGTGAGGGAGAGAGAAATGTCCAAGGGGGAGATAAAGGCTTGGCCTGAGTGGTTTTGTGTCTTCCTACTCTGCTAAGGTGTGTTGGGCATTACCAGAGGCGTTGGCACGCAGTCAGCAGCCTCTGAAGCATGAGTCAGATGCGCTCGCAGGAAAGGAAAATGCTTTCACTTGCTGCATGAAAACACAAATGGAGCTCACAAGCAGCGAGAGGAGCGCGTTTCGGTGTGTCTCACAACACGTCCAAGGCTGTATTTCAAATATTAACATCTTTATATCCTGGAAACTGCTTCAGCAGCGTGGTGTTTGGAGCAAACTGCACACCCTGTTGCAGGAAGAGGGCTCGTGCTTTGTGCCAACACCTCGGCAGCTGGCAGCAGGGACAGGGTGTTAGCCAAGCCCTGCGAGGTGCTTAGCCCAGGCCGGTGACTCCTGAGCCACAAATGCACTCCTCAGCCTGTAACCAGACGTGGGAACCGTGGCTGTGGCTAAAAATTGGGACGCCTTGCTGGGAGGAGGCAGATTTTAACGCTTTGTCTCCATCTTCTTGCTTTTAAATGGGACCCCGCGAGCCTTTTGCCCCCAGCAAAGGCCCAGGCGAGCTTTAAGCACGAAGGACGAGCACTGCTCAGATCTTATCTCACCTGTCCTGTTTGCATTGAAGGCTGGACAAAAAGCAATAATTTCATAAAGGCGAGGCACCTGGAGTCCCGGAGGCTCCTGTGAAAAAAAATAAGGAAGCCACTGGTTTTTTTTTTCTCTTCCGGCTGCTGTACAGACCCTGCCCGCAGGCACAAACGCTGGCTGGCAGATCAGCTGCCTCTTCAGAGGAACCCAAGGTAACTCCTTTTAAATCTTCTGGGGGAAGAAAGCTTGGGGAAGGCTGTCCTGGAGTCACCTTTTTGTTTGCTTAGCAGCTAGCAACATGCAGAGGTGTAAACTTTTTATTTTTTCCTTCCCTGATTAACTCAGATTTGGGGATTTAGAGTTTACCTGCCCAGACAGCCGACCGCCAGCTCTTTACCTCGTTCGTGGGACCTAAAGCAATCGAAAAGACGTCACGTCCAGTGTGGTTTTTTCTACTCTCAACCCCAGTATTTCAGAAGTGTCTGAAAATAGCAGCGCAGAGTACTTGGGTTTCTGCGTGGGGGGGTGTAGGTTGTGCTTTGCTGGGCCCCCACGGTGCTCACCTCGAATCCTTCGGTCGCGAGGGGGAGAAGGGAGAGGCTGGACGCTTCCAGCATTTGGATGCCGGGTCAAAAACCACGCAGAGACCAGCTCCAGACACCCAGAAGGGAACAGCCTGGGGGCCTGGCGGTGCTATTTTCACCCAGAAATGAGAAATTTCACCCAGAAGTGAGAGTGTCTTAGAGCTGCTAGGAAAAGCAGCGTGCGTCTGGGGATAGATCTGCCATGGGAGTGCTTTGTGCTCCCCCAGTTTGTGCGGAGGACAGATGGGGATGTGGTGTCTGCCTCGTCAACAGGTTTGGGGATGCTCAAAAGCGAAATATCTGCTCCTGGTGCAGTATCCACGTTGTATTCTCTGAGCTCATTGTTGGGTTTTGTACACGGAGGATTTTTTTTCTTAATTCAGCGAGCGAAACAATGCCACCGGAGCTGGCTCCCGTGCCACCGGAGCTGCTCCTGGGATGCTTCCCAGCCCACACCAGCTTCAAACCAGCAGATCCCAGCCACGTGCAGCCTGTCCTGGGGCTGAAAAGGGCTGGAGCATGCGAGCAGCTCAGCTGGCAGGACCACAACCTCCTCTCTTGGAGCAGATGTCCACGGGCACAGCAGCTCCACGCATGCTGCCCCCTGAACTTCTTCGGAGAGGTGCCCGCTGCCCCCCGAATTCCTCCTCCAAGCGTCAGGGATGCAGGAAGCAGCCCCGGCTCTCACTTTGCTCGCTGGCTGCTGGCCTAATCGCTGCACTCTGCTGCTGCTCCTGGTGCAAACGCCCGGAGATGCGTGGCCGAGGAGGCATTACCCAGGCGGAAAGAGCGCGGGGCTGCTAATGGAGGAGCCCAGGAGCCGCCCGGCCTCGCGGCTCACTGCAGCTCGGGAGATGTCCTCGGGGGAAAAAGGCGCTCAGCCTGCTGCTGCCGAGCTGCAATTTGGGTTCCTGCTTCCATTCAGCCCCCCGGAGTAGAGCCGAGCATCCTCAAAATCCCCGTGTGCTCCTCCAGGAGCCCTGCGCTCGCCCTTCCTGGAGCCGGCAGCGATTGCGCCGTGCCAAGCCGAGGGCTCCATCGATTTTCATTGCTTTTTTTTTTTTTTTTTTTTTTGCTCCTGGTTTTAGACCGTGTTTTCACCCAGCCTTCTCCGAGAGCGCGCCCTGCCTGCCTATCCGCTTTGGTTTTGGCTCGGGTTTGCGTCCTCGGGGAGGCCGGGGGCAGGCTGCTGGCCACGGGCTGGGGTTTTCCACAGCAGCACCGCGCAGGAGGCGAAATTCCTCCTCGTGGGGCTGGGCAGCCAGGGCCCCAAATCCGCCCTCACCTGCAGGTTTCTTGGCAGAGGGCTTGGGTGTAGGCTGCGGGGAGAAGAGCAGGGCACGCTGCCCCTAAAACCCTAAATTTGGGTGGGCTGGGGGTGACGGGGAGCTCCCCGAACGCCCCCGAGCTGCATCACGGCAGCGCTTTAGGCAGAGGGAGCTGGTGCCAGGCTGGAGAAACAACGCAGCCCTTCCTAGAAATGCACTCTGGAGCTTAAGAGAGAGAGGGACCTAATTGAAAAAAAAAAAAAAAACAACAAACGTATAGAGGTTGTACGAGGGGATAAAAGGGAAAGCTGGGCTGAGATTAACCTGGAGCCCGGCGAGCAGCAGGCAGGGCTCCCAGGCAGTTCCCAGCCCAGGCCTCGGAGCTGCCCGCTGGGTCCTGGATGTGCTGGTGGCCGGGGAGCCCGGCACCCCCTGGCTTTGTGCCCAAGGTAGGTGCTCGCCTCCCCGCTCGCCTCCCGCTCGCTCCCGGGGGCTGCTGCCGTGCCCCCTTGGGGGCCGTGTGCTGTTCCATCTGCTGGGGCTGCTCCGATTTCCCCAAGCCTTCCTCTTCCTCGTCTCCTCCTCCTCCTCCCTTCCCACACCTAGCGTCTCGTTTGCCTGCCCTGGGTCTCCAGGACACCCCAGCGAGACCCCAGACCCTTTTCTTTCCCCACCAAGCAGCCAGCTCCTCGCTGACCCCATCCCCTTCCCATTTCCCTGCCCCGTGGCACCACCGAGGAGCCCCCGGGATGGCCGTGGGGCTTTCTCCTCTGTGCCAAGGGGTCCCTGCCCCGTGCCCAGCCCCGGGAGCTCGCCCACGGGTGCCGTCGTCTTCCAGCCCCGTGGGGAGGAGGGGAAGGGACGCAGGATGCTGTGCTGGGTGTCAGGCATCGCCTCGCCAGCCGGAGCCGTGCAGCAGCCCGCAGAGCTAACCACAGCTAGCGCAGCCTGCTGTTATTTCTGGCCTTCGCTTTCGGTCGCTCTCTTGGTGCAGTTTTAGCTCCAAACGGAGTTAAAACTGCTCCGGGCTGGGCTAAATCCAGGGCTCCTGGGTTTGGGGCTGTTTGTTCTCACCCAGCAGCACGAGCAGGTGGTTGCAGAGGGGCAGCAAGGTAGATAAAAGAGGGGGGTTTTGCTGCACCAGCTCCATTTGTGTGCGGAAACCGGAGCTGGGGTGGGTGGCCTCCTGGTGAGGATGGGATCCCGGTGAGGATGGGATCCCCGAGGGATGCTGAGCCTGGGGAGGGAGGCGGAAAGCCGGAGCCTGCCGGGCCCTGCCCTCTGGATCTTCATCTCTGCAGCTGAACAGGGCTGGAAAATTTATAAACCAGTTTGTTTGGCCTTTTTTTTTTTTTTTTTTTTTTTTTCTGGGGTAAAACCGAGCCGCGGATTGCAAAGGTCTCAGCCCCCGCGCCCTGGCGCTGCAGGGCCCGCCCGAGCCCTTGAGGTGGGAGCCCTGCAGCAGCTGAGGAAATCGGTCCCGTGTGCGCCTGTTTGGTGTCAAACGAGCAGCAGAAAGCGGGGCAGAGCCGCTCACTTCCCCTCTCCGCTCTCCGGGGTGCGCATCGGTCAGAGCGAAAGCCCAGGAGGGCTCAGCGTGGGGAGCCTGACGGGATTCCCCCAAAACCCTGGGTGTGAAAGGCTCATTGCTCCCCAAAGGGGCTGCCTGGGGCCGTGTGGCTTCGGAGGAGGTGGATATGCAAAAGCCTGGGGCTGCTTTTAATGCAGGCGAGGGCGGCAGAGGAGGCGTTCAGGGCGCTCGCTCCAGCGTCCTCGCAGCGGGCTGGGAGCTGGAGCTGGCACCAGAAGCCCTCTGCCTGCCCCCGTTGCCAGGCTGGGTTTTGGGGTGGGCAGCTGGGACCCTACAAGGAGCTCCTGCTGCTCCTCGCCAGCTCCTATCCCGGCCCTGCCACGATGCGGATTTCCCAGGGAAGGGATTTTGCCGAGGGTAATTCTAAAAGCGGTGCCCGACAGCTCAGAAATTTCAGTCTCTGTCCTTTTTTTTTGCACCCTCACACCTTGTTTCTACATCCCATTCGGGGGCTGTCCCCGTTCCCTCCAGCTGCAGGCTTTTCCCACCCGAATTTTCCTCAGAGCTTTGGGGGTGCCGCAGGAACCCCGCGGTGCCACCGAGGCGCTTGGTGGGGTCGGGATCCTGCGCTCCCTCGCCCCGTGGCACTCAGCACCGTGCAGCATCCCCGCACCCAGCCCCAGGCACACATTTTGCAGCTGGACATCCCTCAATTTTTGGCACGTGGGTTCAGACTTTCTCTAAAAACACCCCAATCCCCATCCCAATCCTGCTCACACCTCTCCAAAACCCTCGCGGTGCGTGCGCGCGGCGAACCGGGGGTCACCCCCGGTGTGCAGGGCACCACGTGGGGCTCCGTGCTCCTTCTCCTCCCACCCCAAAAAAGTTCCTCCCGAAACTCGGCGGCCGAGATTGAGTCAGCCAGCGGCCGTGACATCAGCTCGTGGTTTCTCCGCCGAGCGCCCGGGCTTCCTGTTGTGCCCCGGCAGCTCGCCGCGCTCAACATTTCTCTTTATTTACGTTTCCACGCGCGCACCTCGGCGCAGAGGGTGCCCACGTTCCTCCCGCTCCTTCCTCCTGCTCCTTCCTCCTCCTCGAGGCGTCTCCAGCCCCGGTTTCCCCCCCCTCAAGCGTTTTTCCTGCAGCCCTCGCCTCTCTTTTTTTCGCAGCCGGGGCCGGCAGCGGGGCCGGAGAGCCGTGCGCCGCGGCGAGGCCCCGCCAAGAGGATGAGAACATGGGGCTCAAGTTGTCCTGCCTCAAAGGTGGGTCCGGGAGGGTCCCCTGAGCGCGGGGAGGGCTGGGGAGGCCGCGCACTGAAGGAGCTTTGCTGGCTCCTAAAGGACAAAGCACGGGGCTTGGGCTCTGAGCTGGGGATGCTGCAGCTCCTGCGAGGGGACTCCGGGGTTTTTTTTCCAGCCCTGGAGGATTTGGGGCATGGTCCTGAGCTCGCTGTCGTTTTCCTGGGCTTGGGGTTTGCTCAGGAGGTGGGGCCGTGGGAAGGATGCTCGGGGTTGGGGTGCTCGGGGGCAGCGCCCAGCACGGGGCAGCTCGCCAAACTTCACTTTTTTTTTTGCACCAAACTTTACTTTTCTCAGCTCTGGTTCGGAGAGGGGGATGTGGGACTCCCGGTGCAGCTCAGCAGAGGCTGGGATGTGGTTTTGGGGACCTGTGGCACGGCCCAAGGGGACTGCAGGGACGGGCAGGGGGTGGTGGCCACCTCCTGACCCCATGGCACCAGCACCCATGGGCGCACATCCCCTGCCTGGTCCGGGGTGGCACCAAGGGAGATTTGGGAAGCGGTGGCCCCGTTGTCACAGCGGGGCTCCAAGGGTGTCCCCGGTGATGCTTCACCCCAAAATGAGCCCTCAGAGCCCTGGAGGAGAGGGGACACATCACCCACGGGGTCCCTGTCCATGGGGTCCTCATCCATGGGGTCTCATCCATAGGGTCCTCATCCATGGTGGATAAAGTTTTCCCCCAAAACCTCCTCTCTGTTTTCTGCCCATTTAACCCCTCCCCAAAGCAGGACGAAGCCTCAGCACCCGTGTGCCCCCTCCCCATTTTGGGGACACCAGGCAGCCTGCTGCAGGGGACCCCAGAGACCCTCCCCTAACCTTGGGGTGGCTGCAGAGAGGGGCTGGGGGTCACCAAAACACCCCAAAACGGGGTCAAAACCATGGGGGAGCAGCCCCAAAACACCCCCTCACTCCCCAAACCAGCCTCGGCTCCAACAGGCAGGCTCGGAGCCCGCAATAAAATATCCCCCCCCTCCCTCAATCCCCTCCCCAGCTCCCTTACATAAGGCAGGGCTTTATCCTTAATTAAAAAGAGATTAAAAATATCAGTGGCTTGTCCCCGCCGGGCGTTTTCCTGCTTCGGAGAGGAGTTAAAACCTGGCTGCCGGGCGCGGGGCTGGGGCTTTGCTCATGATTAAAAAAAAAAATCAGATTAAAGCGATCTGCATCCAGCGGGGTGGGTGGGCAAACGGGGAAATGGGATGCGGGGATTCTCCGGTGGCTCGTATAGGGTTGAGCCAACGATGCTGTCCCCTCCCCTAGGCTTGAAGACGTGCGTGAGCAGCGGGAACGGCGCCGGGGGGGTCCCGGCAGCGGGCGACAAACACCTACACGTGCCCTCCATCATCGTCACACCCCCCACGCCCACGGGGGCCACGCTGTCCCGGGACACCCGGAGAGCCACCGGGGGGACGTCGCCACCCTGCAACCGGCGCTGAGCACTCAGGGGGGCACCGGAGACCCCAAAATCACCCCGGGGACGACGCTTTTTGGGGAGCAGCTTGGCCAAGAAGCCCCCTTCGCCCCCCCCCAGAGGCTGGTGTGTGAAAGCAGATGGAAATTTAATTTTTTAATGCCAGCAGCAGATGGCAAAAGGCGCCCGAGTGTGTTCGCGGCATGGCACAGCCGTTCATAAAGCGTCCCGAGGAGCCGTGCTGCGTGCTGGTGGCACCGTGGCGACCACGCCACGATGGGGGCACCCCTGGGGTGGGGTGGGGAGAGGTGGGGGGGGACGGGGGTGTGTGTGGGGGTGGAGGGATGGGTGTGGGGCGTGGGTGGATGGATGGGTGGGTGGATGGGTGGGTGGGTGGATGGATGGATGGATGGATGGATGGGTGGATGGATGGATGGATGGGTGGGTGGATGGGTGGGTGGATTGTTGGGTAGATGGATGGATGGGTGGGAGGATGGATGGATGGATGGAATGGTAGATGGTGGGGTGGGTGGGTGGGTGGCCAAGTTGGTGGAAGGATGGGTAGGTAGGTGGGTGGGTGGGTGGGAAGATGGATGGATGGATGGATGGATGGATGGATGGATGGATGGATGGGTGGATGGATGGATGGATGGGTGGATGGGTGGGTGGGTGGGTGGTTGCATGGGTAAGTGGGTAGATGGATGGGTAGATATACGGATGGGTGGGTGGGAGGATGGATGGATGGGGGGTTGGGTGGTTGGGTGGGTAGATGGATGGGTGGATGGATTGGTGGGTGGGTGGGTGGATGGACAGGAGGATGAATGGATGGATGGGAGGGTAGATGGATGGGTGGATAGCTGGGTGGGTATGCAAGTGGGTGGATGGATGGGTAGGTGAGTGGGTGGGTGAGTGGAAGGAGGGAAGGATGGAAGGAAGGATGGGTGGGTAGATAGATGGATGGGTGGGTGGATGGGTGGATGGATTATGGATGGACGGATGGATGGATGGATGGAGGGATGGACAGAGGGATGGGTGCATGGATGGATGGTTGCACAGACAGACAGACAGACGGATGGATCCCCGTGCAGCAGCAGGGAAGCAGACCCCTGTACACCAGGCAGCAGCTGCCCGTGTGCAGCCTCCCGGGGACACGGGGACAGGGCTGGGGGCGGACGGGGGGTCCCATAACGGGGTCCTGGGGGGGTCCCAGGGGGGTCCCGGGGGTCCCTGCGTGGCGCTTCCCGCCCCGGCCGCCAGGGGGCAGCAATGAGCAGCAGGGAGCGGGGCGCACTGCGCATGCGCAACACCGGGGAGGGGGAGTCTGCCCCCGCGGCGCCCTGGCAACAAGTGCTGAGCGCTGATTGGTCGATGCTCCCCCGCGGAGGCGTTCGGATTGGTCCCGCGGCTAGCGGCGCGCACCTCCCCTCTCCGCGCGACAGCCAATGGGAAGTCAAGGGCGAGACGGGTTAACCAATCAGAGAGCTCCGAGCCACGCCGCGTCCCGCCCCCAAGCGGAGAGCGCGAAAAAGCGGCCGGCGGCGGGAAGCGGGAGAGGTGGGCGGGGCTTAGCGGCCGCGCAGCCAATGGGGAGGGCGGGAGCGTGGCGGGCCCAGAGCCGGTTCCGGTTCCGCTTCCGGTTCCGGTGCCGTCGCCATGGAGCCGGCTGAGGCGGAGTTCCTGGCCGAGCAGGAGCTGGTGACGATCGTGCCCAGCTTCAGCATGGACCGAGTGCACCTCATCGGGGTGCGGGGCCGGGGGGGAGAAACGGGGGTGAAAAATGGGGGTTTTGGGGTCAGAAATGGGGGTTTTGGGGTCAGGGGAAGGCCCGCTGCGGGGGGCAGGGGTTGGGGGTTGGGAGGGGGAGGAGCTGAGGGGGGCTGGGGGCAGGGATTGGGGGGTTTGGGGGCAGAAAGGGGGGGGTTTAGAGGCAGGATCTGGGGATATGGGGTCAGGGATGGGGGTTTGGGGGTCAGGGATGGGGATTTGGGGTCAGGGATGGGGAGTTTTGGGGGTCAGGATCAGGGATTTTGGGTCAGGGCTAGGAGATTTGAGCCTGGGGCTGAGGGGATTTGGGGTCAGGGCTGGGGGGTGGGTTGGGGTCATGGGATGGGGGATTTGGGATGGGGCTTGGAGGATGTGGGGTCATGGTTGGGGGGTTTGGGGTCAGGGGCTGGGGGTTTTGGGGTCAAAGTTGGGGAATTTGGGGCCAGGATCAGGGATTTTGGGGTCAGGGCTAGTAGATTTGAGTCTGGGACTGAGGGAATTTGGGGTTCAGAGCTGGGGGGGGGTTAAGGTCAGGGGATGAGGTATTTGGGGTCAGGATCGGGGCGTTTGAGACCGGGGTTGGGGGATTTGGAGTGAGGATTGGGGGAGGCTGGGCTCAGGGGCTGCGGGGCTGGGGGGTGGAGGTGTGGGGGGACTGAAGGGGCAGGGGCTGGGAGGGGGCGTGGGGAGCAGGAGGTGGAAATTGAGGCACTGCCCGGCTCAGACCTCTCCAAATCCCCTAATAACTCCCCAGAAGCCAGAGGAGCAGGGCGCTGCAGTGCCCGAGCCCTTTCCCTCACCGTATTTCCCTCTCCCATCCCTCTTGCAGGGGGACCTGGGCCCTTTCAATCCGGGGCTGCCGGTGGAGGTGCCGCTGTGGCTGGCCATCAACCTGAAGCAGAGGCAGAAATGCCGCCTGGTGCCCCCGGAGTGGATGGATGTGGGTGAGCTTCAGCGGGGGCGAGGGAAACACAAAAACCCGCGGGCATCCACCGCTAACGTGGAGCTGAATTCACCAGACACAAGTTAACGCTGAGAGAAGAAGCTGATTTCCCTCCTCTTGATTTATTTTCGCAAAAAAAAACGAAATCTTCCTGGGCAGATCAGGCACAGCTTGCCCTGGTGCAGCAGCTGCCAGCCCCCGGGACGGGCGTTGGGGCTTTTTCCTTCACCCGGGAACCTTTTTTCTCCCTTCACACTCTCTGCATTTACCCGAGTTCAGCTCGTGGGCTCGGTTCTGCAAAACCAGCCTGCCTTTTTGCCCTTTTTTTTTTTTTCTCCTGACCGCTCCTGGCTGCCTTGCAGAAAAACTGGAGGAAATACGGGACCAGGAACGCAAAGAGGACACCTTCACCCCCATGCCCAGCCCCTACTACATGGAGCTGACAAAGCTGCTGTTAAACTAGTAAGCGGGGGGACATTTTGGGGTGCGTGTTCACCCGGACGATTTCTCAGGGTTTTTTTTGGCAGCATCCTTTTTTTTTTTTCCCCCCAGCGCCTCCGACAACATCCCCAAGGCCGACGAGATCCGCACGCTGGTGAAGGACACGTGGGACACGCGCATGGCCAAGCTGCGCCTGTCCGCCGACAGCTTCGTCCGGCAGCAGGAGGCTCACGCCAAGGTTTGGGGGCAGCGGGGGCTCGCCAGCTCTGCTCGTGGCTCCCCCGAGGGGTGGGGAGAGAAATCCTGCGGGTTCTGCGCTTCTCCTGCCCTCGGGGTGCAGCCGGGTTGTCCTTTGGGGTGGCACCGAGGGAAAATGAGCGTTGCAGAGCTGCTCACTGCGTTCCTCATCTCCCGCATCATCAGGGCCTCAAATTTTGTGGCTTTTTCTCTCTTTCCAGCTGGATAACCTGACCCTGATGGAGATCAACACCATCGGGACGTTCCTCACGCAAGCCCTGGACCACATGTACAAGCTGCGCACCAACCTGCAGCCCGCCCACAGCTCCCAGTCGCAGGATTTCTGAGGCGCCCGCCCTCAAACCTTCCCCTGGAGGGGGGGGAAAATTCAGAGCCTGCCGGGGAGCTGCTCTCTGCTCGGCTGCTCTCTGGCGGCAGGCAGAGCTCCCTGCCCTGCCCGGCGTGGCTGTGCTTCGGAGAGGGAACTTCTGAGGGCAGCACAGGCCACGCGCCGGCTTGGGAGAGAGGAATTTCGAGGCGGCGCTTCGCCGAGAATCCGCTCAGAGCCATGAGAAGAGGAGCCCGAGGCGTGCGCCGGGGAGATCAGCAACCTCCGGCTGCTCCCTGTGCAGGAGGACAAAAGGAAAGGGTTTTCCCTCTCCCGCCCGGGCTGTTTTGTACGAGATCTCATTTTTATTTGTGGCTGAAACTAAAAATAAAGAAGCGAGCGGCCGCTGAGCGAGCCGCGCTGAATTTCCTCACGTTTTTTTTTCCATCTGGGGGTCAAACGGTGCTGGGGGGGGGCAAACAACGTGGGCTGAGCAATGTGGGAGCAGGGCAGCTTCCCCCTGGCTGCTGGGGCAGGAAGAACCCTTTGCCATCGTTGAAGTTTTTATTTCCCTGGATGTTTCCAGCAATTCCAACCATGTGTTCATAAATAGCTAACCACTACATTCGATAAATGATATATTCCGTTACAATTAATCCAAACAGGTACAGATAGAACAGGTTTAGTGCTTTTTTTTCTTCTTTTTCCCAATTATTTCCTTGTTTTCTGTTACCTCCCTGCCTTTCCTGCCCTCTCCTGGCTCTGCCTGTTACCGCTCCAGTGATTTCCACGCGGGGTGGGGACAAAGAGACAGGACCCGGGGGGAATCCTCCTGAGAAGCTGCGAGCACAGGGTCAAAAACTCAATTTTGGGCTGCGGAGGGGGGGAAATCTCAGCTTGATAGCTGCAGGGGAGAAATTTTGCCCACGATTTTTCCATCCCCAACCTCTTTTTCCCAGCCTGGCACTCGGGGAAGGGGAAGGTTTGGGGAGCACCCCAAGGAGCCAGGAGTGCGCCCAGCCTCAGGGTGTGCCCCCATTTCCCCTGCCCAAACACCTTCCCTCCGCTGTCTGATTGTTTTGGGATTTTGGGGGATTTTCGGGGATTTAGGGGGATTTTGGGGCTGTGCCCGCTGCAGTGGGGTTGGGTCCCCCTTCCCCGTGCTGCCCCTTTCCAACCCCGTGCAGTCCCCTACTGGTTTTAGGATTGGGGCATTGGGACTCACCCCCGCCCCCCATGCAGCACCGCAGCTGCCCCAGCGCTTGGAGGGACCCAAAAAAAAACAGAAACCAAAGGGAAAAGGGAAAAAACAATCAGAATTGGAGGGATGGGGAAGGGGGGGGGGCTGTGGTGTGACAGCACCTGCCCCAGTGGAAAATGGGATTTGTTTTTTCTTCAATTCTTTCTTTTTTTCTCAATTTCTTTTCTAGCTTTTCTGCCCTGACCAGCAGCAGCGCTAAAAGCAAGTCCTTGTGCCAAAAAAAAAAAAAAAAGAAAGAAAAAGGGCTGGGAGGAAAGGGGAGAAACCAAGGCCAAAATTAAAAAAAAAAAGAAGAAACGTTAAAAAAAAAAGGCAAGCTTTTTATAACAACAATTAAAGCAATCAAAACATACAAAACTTTGTCTTTCTTTAATATATATACACAGTACAAGGCTGAAGCACCTTTTTTTTTCTTTTTTTTTGACTCGAATTGCAGGAAAAAAAAGCCCCCCACAACCCCAAACCCCCCCCCGCCTGCCGCAGAGGAAGAAGAAGGTGCCTCCAGGAGTTCACGGACTTTATTTGAGAGCCAAGTGCATTTTCCAGGGGGAAACCCCACGGTAAGGGGGTGGGGGGGTTGGGGACACGTTTTGGGGTGTATGGGGGGGACACCCCCCCGCCACCGGCCCCGCGGGGCTCCTCCGGCTTTTAGTGTTGTCGGCGGAGTTTTTATAATCGGATTTTTTTTTAATTAAAAAACAAAAAAATGAGCTATATAAAGTGTTGGGGGTGCGGGGGGGGTCGCCCCCAAGGACGGGGACGGGGTGAGCGCCCGGCTCCCGCCTTCCTTTTTGCTTCATGCATGGCACATTCTCCGTTTGAAGTTCCTTTTTTTTTTTTTATCGTGTGTGTGTGTGTTGTTTGTTGTTTTTTTTTTTTAATTATTTTATTATTTTTTAGCTTCAAACCTCCCAGTGAAAAATATTAAATATTCCAGGTAATAAAATAGATTATTATTTCTAGACTATGTGTTCTGGCCCAGCCCGGGGAGCGTCACCTGGGGTACCCCTTGAAATAACCCCGAGACCACTGCAGGGCGGGCAAGGCAAGGCACTTCCGCAGGTGATCCAGCTCCGCCTGCAGCCGCTCGCGCTCCGAGGCCAGCTTCTGCTTTTGGGAACGCAGCTCCTGCGAGGAAACAGTGGGGTCAGGGGGGTTGTGGGGTGGGGACGGGGGTTGTGGCGGGGAGAGGGGTTGGGTTGGCCGCACCGTGCGGTGAGGGGTACGGGGATGGGGGGCTCCAAAAGGGGGTTAGGGGCACCAAAAGGGGGTTAGGGGCACCAAAAGGGAACGGGGGCATGGCAGGAGGATGGGGACACCAAAGGGGGATGGGGAACTGCAGGAATATGGGGACACCAAAAGGGGATGGGGTCCTGTAGGAAGATGGGGGCACTGCAGGAGGATGGGGCAGGAGGAGGGGTGCCCCGACAGGAGGACGGGCCCTCACCCCACTTTTGGGGTGCCCCCCACTCACCGCCATGCTGTGCGAGAGCTGCTCGGCCGTCAGGCTCAGGCTGTAGTGCTGCGCCTCCAGCCGCCGGCACTGCGTCTGCAGCACTTGGCGCTCCAGGTTTTGCTCTGCAAGGCACGGGGAACGGGGCTGAGCGCCCCAAAACCCAGCCCCATGCCGGCACCTGCACCCTCCCGGGGAGGACACGGCCTCCTCCAGCCCCCAAACCAGCTCCTTTCTCCCTAACCCAGCTGCTGGGCAAGGAAACGAGGAAGCCACGAAGCCAGGATGGGCTCCGCGGGTCCGTGCGTGGCCACGCGTCCCCATAACCCCCATCCCCACCCCACAAAGCAGCAAAATCCCACCCTACCTTCTATATGCTCCTGGTAAGCCTCAAAAATTGCCTCGATCCCTCGCCACTTGGGCCTGGGGCACTCCTCCTCCTCCTCTTCTTCCTCTTCTTCCTCCTCTTCCTCCTCCTCCTCCTCCTCGGAGGCCGGTTGTGGGGCGAGCGCCCTGTGGGGCAGGGACCCCTCGGCCGTGCCGTTGTGCGGGGCCAGGCGGCTGGAAGCCTGCAGCTCGGGGATGTTGTAGTGGATGGAGGCGTCCAGCTTGTGGTTCTGCTCCGCCGTCAGCGCCGCCGTCCCCCCTGCGGGCACCGAGCGTCAACCCCATGCCCTCCAGCCCCCTGGAATTTGTGGGGTCGGTGGCAAAGGGGATGCGATTTCCCAACCCTTTTACCCTCCCCTATAACCGCAGGAGCCGTGCCAGCCCGGGATCATTCACCGGGATGCTCCGGGAGCGGGGTCACGGGCGGATTGCCCCGCAAGGATGCGCCCTGGGTGGTGCCAACCCTTTGGGGAGGTTCATGGGGGGGGGGATCTCCCGTTCCTTGCGCCCCCCCAGCACCTTTGTGCTTCTGCAGCGCCTTCTGGGTGGACTGCAGCACCGACTCGTGGAACTGGTGGGCGAACTCCTCGGCGATGAAGGGCTCCCAGGGCTTGCTCTTGCCGTTCACGCTGTGGGACAGCGGCACCGGGATGTCCTTGGGCAGGGGGCCCCGCACGTAGCTGAGGATGCTCAGCGCCTTCTTCCCGGGGTGCCCATCGCTCAGCCGGGGGGGTTTTTCACCCCCCAAAGCCGTGGGTTCCTTAACCCTGGGGAGCTCCGGGGCTCGCAGCTGCTCCAAGCGCCCCGGCTCCGCCGCCTTCTCGGCGATGCCCGCGGCTTTCTCCGGGTCCAGCAGCAGTGGCTGCACCGGCGGCTCTGCGGGAGGAAGAGGAGGGTGAGAACCCCGCGCCCTGCATCCCCGGGGTCCCGCAGGGATGCTCCCAAATGGCCCCGAGGAAAGGGAAAAAAAGGCTAAAAAAGGCTCACCGGCAACGGGGCCGCTGGGGCTGTCCCGCGGCGAGCTCTTCACCACCACGGCGCCCGGCGCCGGCTTCTGCTTCATGGCCTGCAGCATCTCCACCAGCTTCTCCTTGTCTGCCCCGTGGGAAGCTGAGGTTTTAGCGGAGCCTCTGCTCAGCGGGGCAAGCTCCCGGCCCCCCGCGGGGCGAGGCGGCACCCCGAAAACAGGAGGAGAGGGGATCCCGACCCCAGCGGGGCGCGGGGCGCAGGCGTTACCTTTCCTCTTGTCGGCACTGATGTGCGTGAGGTTGAAGATGGTGAGGAAGCGTTTCTTCTCCTCGAAGTTGGGGCTGTTGTTCATCTCGTCGGGGCTGTAGCGGGTGGAGAGGGGGAGGCGCGGGGAGGGGGTGCGGCGCTTGTTCTGCACGGTGGGGGGCGAGGGGCTCCGCTCCCGCAGCATCCGCCGCCGCTTGCGCCGCTTCTGGCTCAGCAACTCCTCCTTCTGCTGCTGCGTGGTGAGGCCGAAGAGCTGCAGGAACTCCAGCTTCTGGGGCACCAGGGGACAGCGGAGCGGGGTTACCTCCAGACTGGCACAGCACCGTCCCCATCCCGGTTCCCATCCCAGTCCCCATCCCGGTCCCCATCCCCATCCACACCTCCATTTCCACCCCCATCCCATCCCAATCCCCATCCCATCCCAATCCCCATCCCCATCCTAATCCCATCCCCATCCCCATCCCATCCCCATCCTATCCCAATCCCAACCCCAACCCCGTACCTCGGAGGACGTGTCCAGCTTCAGCGGGGGCTGCTCGGCCACGCAGCGGAGATGTGCCCGCACCTCCTCCTCGTCGCTGTCGTCGCAGGAGTCGTCCAGGTCGTAGTAATAACCTGAGGGGGGGCAGAGGTTGGTGTCAGCCCTGGGGGGGGCACGCAGGGACCCCGGGAAGCTGCCCCATCCCTGCTGGAGGGGGCACGGCAACGCCTGCCCCACAGCGGGCTCCTTCGCCTCCTCCCCGCTTGCCCGGCCCTATTAATATTTAAAGCAGCTGATTAGCCTCGGTTCATCATTTATTAATTGGCCGTGTCTCCAGCGGAGGATTTACCCAGCCGCTCTGATTTGGGCTCCCAGGAGGGGTCACACCGTGCGCCCCCGGCTTGGCCACCGTGCTGGGCAACCCCGGGGGACCCCTGGGCACCCCCAGGGGGGGTCCCAGAGCTCTGCGAGCCCCCAATTCACCTTTTTCACGGGCCTCCCTCCGCCGGCGCTCCTCCAGGTCGAGCTTGCTGACCAGCCTGCGGTGCTGCTGCACGAACTCGTCGTAGATGTACATGGGGTCCTGGGCGCGGGGCGGGGGGGCTCTGTAGGGCGAGCTGGGCTTGGCGGCCTCGCCGAAGGGGGCGGCTGGGGCTAACGGGGGTCTCTGCTGGCTGAGGATGCTCTGCGTGGATTTCTCCAGCTCGGCCAGGAAGGGGGCGTGGGCGAAGCCCCCGTGCTCGGGGGCGCCGGGCTCCCGTGGCGGGGGGTATTTCTCCAGCGCCTCCCTTTTCCTCGCCCCGTCCTCCAGCTTCTCGGGGCAGAAAACCCGCTCCACCTTCACCAGCGGGATGCCCTGGCGGCTGGGCTCGAAGGGGGCCGGGTGGCCGTGGAGGGCGTGGGGCTCGGGGAGGCGCCGGGGAGGGTCCGGGGGGCTCTCCATCAGGGAGACGGGGTTCCAGAGGGACGTGGTGATGGGGTGGTGCTGGGGTTTGGGGGAGATGAGCGGTGGAGGGCCGCCGAAGTGCTGCCCCGGCTCCCGGACGCTCGGCTCGTGGCGGCTTGGTCCTGACCTGCGGGGAGAGGAGAGGGGTGGAGAGGTGAGGACAGGGGTGGAGACCCCGGAAAAAACATCCCTAACCCCCCCAGGGGTGTTTTCATGTGCCGGAGCTGGGCGCTTAACGCTTTTCCGCCCGAGCGCCCCAGCCCTTTGCACATCACAGCAGCAGCCGTGGCACAGCTCCACCGAGCCCTGGCACGAGGCACCCTGACCAAAAGCAGCCCCTGCCCCGGCCAAAATCAGTCCCTGTCCCCCCATGGGTTGTGGGGGCACTGGCAAGCCCTAGAGGGGCTGTGCGGGGTGCTGGTTTGGGGACGGGGATGGGAAGAGGGATGGGGATGGGGATGGGAAGAGCAATGGGAATGGGGATGGGGCCGCCTGTCCCCGCGTGCTGCCGTGCTCAGGGTGACCTTGCTCTCTCCTCCCCGCTCCGGAGAGGGCCGTGCGGCTGCAGCAGGCACTTGCCATTCTGCAGCCCCGCAATCCGCTCCTTGTTCTACTCGATTAGCTGCGCTAATCCCCTTGATACCCAAAAATAACAATGGCAGCCAGCAGCAGAGCCGCCCGCAGGAGCCTGCAGTGCCGGAGCGCGCGGCAACCGAGCGAAAAAACCCGCACCGAGTTGGGGAGGTGGGACAGGGGGGGACAGGGGGTGCCCCCCTCGCATCGGCACGCTGCGGGGGAGCAGCTTGGGGGGCGACGGCTGTGCTGGAGGGCGAGCTGCAATTAGCGGTGCCGCCGCCTCGGCAGCACCTGGCCGCTCGCCGCTGGCCCCCGGCCACCTCCCGGGCTCGCCGCCTGCCGCCGCGCAGATGTCGGGCACCGGTGATGGCCGGAGCTGCCAGCGCAGCCGGCCTGGCTGGCACCGCGCGGCGGGGACCTGCTGGCAGTGGGCAAAAAGGAATCATTTCTGCTCGCCCGGCGGCTGGGAGAGAGGTGGGGGCTCGGCGAGCTAACGGGGAGCCCGAGCCAGCTCCTGGGGGGCGCACGGTGTGGGGAGAGGAAGCAGGAATGGGAAAACCCCCGCTGGATGATGAACGGGAGAAGGGATCGCAGAAAAGGGCGAGCTCCATCCTCGGAGAGGGTGGAAATGAATTTGGAGACGCCGCCCCGCGTGGGGCTTACAGCAGGAGCCCTACCTGGGGTTCTCCGGGCGGTGCTCGGGCTCGGGCTGGCTCGGGGTGCGCCCCATGTCGAGGTGCTGCTCCAGCACCTGCTGCCGAAACTCGGAGACCTGGGACTGGCGGTCCTCCTTCTCCTGGCGCAGGCGGCGCTGCCTCGCCAGCCACTTCTCCTCCTCGTTGGTGCGGTGGATGAGCAGCGCCGTGGCCGCGCTGCTGCCGGGCAGGGGGAACACGTTGTGGTTGGGGATGAGGCTGGGCACGGGGTGGTGCGAGGCCGGCGGCGGGTGCAGCGGGTGCTGGATGGGCTTCGGCGTGGGCAGCACCGAGTCCTTCAGTTTCTCTGGGGGGGGCACAAAAAGGAGCCGGGGCGTCGGGAGGGCGCACGCCAAACCCCGCCTGGTGTTTTGGGGAGCAGCCCCACAGGTACGAGGTAACGGGAGCTGCAGGGGGCTGCCCGCCCGCTGCCAGCCCAGCTGCTTGGCGTGCCCGGGTGAAGTCAGGCGGCACAAACCCCGCGGCGCCTCTCCAACAGCCCCCGCGCTCCGCAGCGGCCCCGCTGAGCGCGCCGCGGCAGCTGGGCTGCTGGCACGGCGAGCTGGCAGCCGGCACAGCCAGCCCGCAGCCCCCGCCACTCAAGACAGTCCCCGACCCCCTCGGCTTTGCCATCTGGAGAAGGGAAAAGGGACGAGGGGCCGACCACCGCGGGGTTGTTACCTGCTCTGCCCGGCACCAGCGGCTCTGCCGCCTTGCCCCGCTCCTCGGCCGGGTGTCCCCGCAGCCCGTGCAGCTCGGCCATGGGCAGGAAGGGCCCCTCCATGGCTTTCACCATGCTCAGCTCCTTCTCGCGGGCGCGCTCCCTCTGCCTCTCCAGCTCCCGCTCCCGCTCCTTCTCGCGCTCCCTCTCCAGCTCCTTCTCGCGCTCCCGCTCCCGTTCGCGCTCCTTCTCCCGTTCCCGGTCGGCTTCCCGCTCCCTCTCCTTCTCCCTCTCCCTCTCGCGCTCCCGCTCCCTCTGCCGCAGCTCCTCGTCCATTTGCAGCCTGCAAAATAAAACAAAAAAAAACACCCCCAGCCCCAGGCGGGTGCCCGTTAGCATCCCCAAGGGGTGGTTCCCGTGCCATCCTCGCCGCGGTGGCCGCCCCCGTGGCCGCTCACCTCTCAGCGGCAAGGCTGGAGATGCGCTCCGACTGCAGCGCCGAGAGCGAGGAGTGCGACAGCTCGGCGGGGTACCGCACGCCCGAGAGGTGCAGGTGCATGGCCGAGGGGTGCAGGGGGGGCAGCGAGCCCGGCGCCGGCAGCGGGTAGAAGGGGGAGCGCAGCGCCGACAGGCAGTACGAGTCATCCATCCTGCGGGGAGACAGGGGCGAAAATGGCCATAAAGGGGAGAAATTCCATCCTGGAGGGTTGGAACTCGTGACACGGGGGGTTTATGGCACGGAGAGGGGGGCCGAGCCCCGGTAAGGATGGGGAGGTGCCCACCTGAAGGCAGGGTGCGGGAAGGGGTGGTGGGTCAGGTAGCTGGGGTGGTAGTAGGCGGCCGCCGTGGCCGGGTCGAGGCCGAGGGGAGGCAGGGAGGACATGCGGAGCTCCTCGGCGGTGTGGTAGGGCCGAAAGCTGCGCAGATAATCCTCGGTGACGGCGCTGGGGGGCACCACGTGGTGGACGGGGCGCTGCAGGCTGCCGGGGGGGAAAAAGGGACGGTGAGGAGCACGGAGATGTGGCCCCCACCCCAAGCACCCCGACCTGGGGAGGGGGCACCCGCGTCCCGCATCCGTCCCCATCGCCCGCAGACTCACTTGAGAGGAGGGAAGCGGGAGTCCTGCACCACGGAGCTGGGGGGCAGCCCGAAGGAGTAGGGCGTCCCCAGGAGGTGCGAGGGGACCGAGGGGCCCCCCCCGGCCTTCTCCTGCGCCAGGGGGGGCTCGGAGATGAGGCGCTCGCGGCTGCTGCTGCTGCTGCTGCCTCGCGAGCCCGCTTCTTGCTGGAAGGGAAAGGGGGGGGGGAGAGCATTAGGGGATGGCGGGGACCCCGCAGGGGATGGGGTCCCACTGGGAAGTCGTGGGGAGCACCCACGGAGCATCCGTGCTGTTCTAGGGTGGGCTGGGGGCTGGGGGGGGCTACACCAGGTGGCGGGGACAGGACACGTTGGACCTGCAGAGGGATTTTGAGGCTTTGTTCCCCACAGCTCTCCAGCACCCCCTGCTCGCACCACCCCCAGCTCGGGGGGGGGACCCTTGGTGACGCTGGGGGGCTGCGAGCTGGGAATTTGGGGACAAGGTGGGGGCAGCGGGATCCAGACCCTTCCTCATCTCCTCTCCTCCCAGAGGAGCCCCAGTGCAGCCCCCCCCGGGTCGTCGGGGATGGTCCCAAGGTGACCGCAGCCGGCACAAAGGGCGTCCCCCCGGCAGCCCCCGCCGAGCGCATCAGGGCTCATTGTGCGTGCCAGGCTCTGCTCTAATTACCTCCCCCCCCTCGTCTCGGGGCGTCACGCTGCGAGCGCGGCTCTGCCAGACAATAAAACACGCTCGGTTAACCCAGATTCCTCCGGGGTCACTCGGGAAGAGGAGGCCGAGGGGATTTGGTGAGGGGGGGGGGGGGCACGGCGGGGCGGGCGGCACCCAGGCACCCCGCACCCCGGGGATTTCGTTTTGTTCCTCCCCCCCCCCCTCCTCTTTTCTCCCCTCCCACCGCCTCCCCGCTTTGTGGTTTAATTAGTCTTTCCAAGTGGCATAATCCCCCCGGGAATCTGCTCGTAACATGCGAGAGGAGAGGAGAGAACCACTAACGATGCTTCTTAATTAGCCGGCGCGTCCCCGGCATCATCGTATTCTGCCCCCCCCCAGGCTCCTTCCCCTCCGCCTCTGCTGCTTTCCTCTCCTGATGGCAGCCTGGGGACGTGGCGGGGGGGGAGAGGGGACAAAAGGGGGACACCACCGGGTGGCACCGGGATGTGAACCGCCGCCGTGCCCGTGATTTTTGGGGACGGGCACCCCCCTGGTGCGCCCAGCCCGGCCGTACCTGTCTGCCTTCGCTCCTCCAGACCCCATTGACCGTCTTGGTGGGGGCGATGGTGACGACTGGGGGGGTGCTGGGCACGCTGTGCCCCCCCGGGGGCACGATGATGGGGCCCATGGGGCCGCGCTTGGGCGTGCTGGCGGGCGAGCTGTGGTTGGTGGCCGGCGACGAGACCGGGGACGACTCGCTGCTTATCGAGGACCCTGGGGAAGGGGAAAAAAAAAGGGGAAAAAGGCAAAATTAGGCAGCGAAACCACCCTCCCCATCTGGAGGGGTGAGGGGGGGGGCAGGAGGGGTGGATGTCCCCAGCCATTTGCCTGGGGACCCCCCCCAGTGGCTGCGCCCATGCTCTGGTGGTGATGGGGGCGCTCGGTTTTTCCTTGGGGTTTCATTCCCATCGCTCTGGAAACTCAGCTGCCATCAGCTGCCCCACGAGGCGCAGGGAAAAGTAAGGTGAAACCCGGCTCATTACACCGGGAAATCCAGCCCAGCCCCTGGGGGCGAGGGCGAGCATCCACCGAGGGGATGGCACCGAAAGGTGCTGAGGGGGTGCCCGCAGGAGGATGAACCGGTCGCTCCCCTTAACCCTTGGGCAAAGCTTGGGCTTTTATTTGCAGGAGAAGTCTGTATTTGAAATCACACCTGCTTGGGGGATGCTGGAGGGAGAAACGAAGCCCTCCAAAAACGGGAATTGAAGCAGAGAGCGTGGCGCAGGGAGGAACACCGGGCAGGAGCAGCGGTGCCAATCCCACACCAACACGGCACGGCGAGCCGCCCTGCGCTCTGCTGCAACCCCCCCCAGCACAAAATCCTCCCAAACTGGGACCAGCCCCAGCTGCAGCAGGCTGGTGGCCTCCCTGGCGGGGAATTTGGGCCAAAATGTGCTTTGTGGCACCCGGGCAGGGACCGGCCACGGGTGGCCGAAGCCACCAGGGCGCACGTGAGCTGGCTGTGCGCCCTGCCGGCACGGCGGCTCCCCTGGGCGTGCAAACCTCCTGCTCGCCCTGCGGGTGTGCAAGCCGCCTGCTCGCCCCCCCCAGCACCCCAGCTGGCCCCCGAAAACCCCCGGCAGCACCTGGAAGGGCAGCAGCGGGGCAGGGCGAGCCGCCGGCCACGCCGCCTGATTACTTATTCCCGCCTCGCTCCGAATCGCTTTCATTTGGAGAGCGGCGAGGCTCGGGGAGAGAAAGGCTGCCCGCGACAAAGGAGGCAGGCGATAGGGATTTGACACCCACTGAAGTCTATCTTGTCAGCGCAAGGCCAACAACAATTAGCAGCCTAATCCCCTCTGAGCTGGGAAGCCATTACTCACCACGCGATAGCGTTAACAATCAATACCATCACAATGAGCCCGGCAATTAATGAAGCTAAAGTCTTACTTCAGAACCTTAATTCTCGCTGTGTGGCTTTAAACGGGAGGGTTTGTGATCGTTATAATTAACTGGCGGTATTCAGCCAGGAGTTAGTCAATGAAACTAATCTGGATTGGAGATGACAAGAGGCACAGTGTGATGGTGTCACCTTTGTTTTCTGACCTCCCGCTTTCCGCTCGGCGATAGCAGATTAGCAGCCGGGGCTGACAGGCAAATGTAATTAACAGCTGAGACCCTGAAGGAGGAGGGGGGGAGAAAAAAAAAAAAAAAAAGGAAAAAAGGGGAAAAAAAAAAATCCCCTGCAGGCAAACCTGGGCAGGGGGCGAGGCGGGATGCCCCAGCCGGCCCCTGTGGCTTTGGGGTTCCTTTGTGCTTTGATCCCTCCAATGGGACCAACGTGCCCGGCCCCGTGGTGATGTGGGATGCTCTGGAGGGCACGGCCAGGTCCCCTCGCACCCTGAGAGTTTTTTGGGATGAGAAAATCCCCACGCATGCCCTGAGCATGGCAGAGCCACGTGGACCCGCTGGGGGCCGATCCCCGTGTCCATGCAGCCCAGGGGGGGGGAGCAGGACGGCAGCCACCACGCGCACCTCCTGGGATGGAAACGGGATGAGGAGCAGCTTCCCAGCGGGGAAAAATCCACGGCTCGGAGAGAAACAGCTCTCCAGACACACACACAGCAGCCCACGCGCACGGAAACCCCCGGGGATGAGCCAATTTGGGCACGGCTGCTGGCCCCCAGCCAGCTTTGGGGCAGGTTTCTGGGGAAGGATGCGAAGGGAGAGCGGCTGCAGGTGTGAGGAGAGAGGGACCGGGGGAGGAAAAGGCAAAATCGTCAAACAACCAGAAATTAAAAAATAACCACAGCCGTGCGAGCGCCCCGAGGGAAGCAGATGGGGAGCTGGCAGCCGGGAGCTGAGCCCCCCTGCGCCTTGGCACCCTGGGATTAATGGGATCGGATGCATTTTTTGGGGGGGAGCCAGCCACAAACACGCCCCCAGGTCCTTCCTGGGACTGTTTGGTGCCCGAGGCTTCGGGTTATGGCTTTTTGTGGCATTTCACAGATCTGGTAAATGGCGTTTGCAAAAAGGCTCTGGAAAAGGGGCTGGGTAACGACCCACCGGGGGCAACGTCAGGAGAAACCCCGTGTACCCTGGCACCTCCAAACCCCCCCTGGCGACCCCTTCGAGAGCTGAAATCCTGCAGAGCAGGAGGAAGGGGAGGTTGGCGTGGCCGGGGTGGTGACGGGGACGCAGCGGTGGCGCATGAAGATTTGGGGCGAAACGGTGGCTCGGCTGCACCCCGGGGTGGCCAAAACATTGTTCCCGTGCGCCCTCGCGGAGGAAAACTCTGGAGGAGGTTTATGGGGTGTGCCAGTCCCCAACCCAAGGACCCCGTCCGTACCTCTGGGCTCCTCGGCTTGCTTGGCGAGCTTGCGGAGGGCGGCGGCGAAGCTGGAGGAAGGTGCTGCCTGGACGGACAAAGTGCTGCTGGCGGCCGGGCTGCCATTGGGGACCAGGGAGCCGTTGAGGGGCGAGGGGGTGAGGGGGCTGACGGTGGCGGTGGTGCGGGTGGCGGTGGACAGCATTCCTAGGGAAGGCGACTTCGACTCATGGCTCATGCCTGCCAAGGAGAGACGCGCGGGGTCAGCGCCGCCGCGGGCAGCGGGGACAACGGGGACAGCACCAGGACCCCCCCCGCGCCCCCTCCCCTCAGCATCAAAGCCAAAACAGCCCCCCCAAACCCACCCCAAAGCGGGATCCGCACCAAATCCCCGCGCACCCCGTTCACCACCCACCCCAAAAAGCGCCCCCGGGGCTCACGCAATAGGACGCAGCCCACCGGGGGTGGGTGCGAGCCCCCGTCCGTGTCCCCCCCCCCCCGTGCCATTGAGCTCCCCGCGTGCTTACGGGGCGGCAGCTTATCTAACAAAGCAGGCGGGCTGCTCGCCTGCAGCAAACGAGCTGACACGGGGCCACCAGCTGCTGCCAGCATCACATGGCCCCGCTGAGCCGCCAGCGGATAACGGCACGGGGGGGGGCTCGGCAGGGAGAGAGGGGGTGCCCTGGGGGGGCACGGGGATGGGCGAGCCCTGCTGGGGAAGGAGGGAGCCCCCCGGTTCGTGCGGTGCTGCCGAAACCCGAAGTAACGCTGCTGGAGCCTGCTGGAACCAAACCCAAATCCCCGCCGCCGCGCCATCAGGTCGCCGGTTGCGCACCCCCAGGGTGATGTCGTGCCCCCCATCACCATCACGGCACCTTCAAATCGCCACCCTGCACCCCAAAATCCCATCACTGTACCCCAAAATCAATCACTGCACCCCAAATCCCATCGCTGCACCCCCAAGTCCCCACCGTTGCCCCCAGCTCCCCACTGTGGCCCCCATCCGCACCACCCCGTCCCCAAATCCCCCCCATCGCATCTTCACCCCGAGCACCCCAAAACCCCCTCCTGCACCCCCAAAGCCCCCCAGCTCAACCCCACATCCTCACCATCGCACCCCCAGCTCCCCGTGGCTGCGCCCCGCAGCACAGTGGCTCTATAGGGCCGGGGGGGGTGGTCCCGGTACCGTCAGGGCGCAGCGCACCCCACATCCCCACTGGGGTGCTCGTGGCCCCCCCCCGTCACCATGCCTGTCCCAGCCACGTGCTCCAGGGCTCTCCACCTCCGAAAACAGCAACTGCTGATGTCAGGGCCCTTAAAATAGACTTCCAAATGAGCAGCTTCATTAACGCCGGCCTAAAATTAGCCCCGCTCCCGGGTGGGCAGGCAGGGAGGGGGGGCCGTGCCCGCTGGGGGGGGTCCTGAAGGACCCCGTGAGCCCCCCGGGGCTCAGCGCGGCCACCTCGGCCACCAGGGCCACCGAAATATCCCCTCTGCCAGCCTCAGGGTGGCTGGGGCAGAGCAGGGGAGGCCACGGGGCCAGGGCGGGGGGGGCGCCGAGCGCCACTCGGCACTGATTAATCTTTGCCCCCCCCCGGCCCCTGGAGAGGCGGCCGGCGCGGCGGCGCGCGCTCCCCTCTGCCCTCATTATCCCAGCATTTATTAACTCCGGGGCTCTCAGCCATTGACTGCAGCCTTGTCGACACGCCGGGCTCATGTAAATTCATTACGCCAACAGCTGGGAAGCAAACCCCTGGGCTTCAGAGCAGCCCCCCCCCAAAAAAACCAGACCCCCCCTTCCCCCCCTTTCCACCTCCCCAGTCGAGCTTGGGTGCGCCCCCCTTGGAGCGCGGGGTGCTGGGTGCGTTGCCTGGCACCATCCGGGGGGTTTGCAGCCCCCCGAGCAGCCCGTGGGGCTCCTCGGCAGCTATTAACCCCCGGCCCGACCCCCCCGGCCCCAATAAAGGCTGGAGATGCTTTGCTGAGCAGCGCTGCGCCTGCCTCCCGCTGCGGGCTCTGTAATTACTCCTCCCTTTCATCCCCGGCTCCTCGCAGCCACCAGACCCAGCCCTGCCACCTCCATGCTCTCTCTAATCACAGCCCCGTGGCGCGGGGGGGAAATTTTGGCCACCCCCCGGCCTGGTGCCAAGCTCTGTCTGCCCTCCCGTGCCCCCCCAACCTCCCCGAGACACGGCAGCATCCCACAAGCGCCCGGCGCGCGTGGCACCAGCATGTGATGCTCAGCTGATGGCTGCGGCCCCAGCCACCTCCTCCCCAAAATTCGGCACGCTCAGTGCTCGCCCGTGAAGCGGGGACGTCCCTGGAGCACCAGGGATCAGCCGGGACGGGTTGGTTGCACGGGGGGAGCCGCGAGCTCCAGCTCCGTGGGGACCCCCCCCGGCACCCGGGGATGTGCGCGGGGAGCTCGCCAGCCTTTTTCCCAGCTGATTCTGGGCAAATTCTGCATCCCTGCCCCACGGCCGGGCTCCAAACCCTCTCTGCTGCTCTTTCCTGGTGATAAAATCCCTTTTTGCCCAGGCTGGGGCCGAGCAGTGCCACCGCTCAGCCTGCCACCCCCCCCCAGTAGAGCATCCATCTGTCCAGGTGTTCCCATCCCCTGGGAGAGCTGCCCTGCATGGGGAAACTGAGGCACGGCGGGCAGGGAGATGGCCAGGCACAGGGATTTGGGACTCTGGGTGCCGCCGAGCTGTCCCTGTCCCCATCCCTGTCCCCATCCCCACCCCACAACGAGGTGGGGCCTCTCCCGGGGCCCCCGGCTCGGTGGCGCGCCGCAGCTCTCCCGATCCTCCCTCCCCTCCCCTGCCTCCAGCTGCTCTTCCCGGCAGGCAAACCCGTGCTGAAAAACAGGTCCCAGACCCGGGGGCACGTCACCGGCGCCAGCCGCATCACCGGGGTGGGGGCCGAACCCCAAAACAAGGCAGGGCGCCCCAACACCGCCCCCAGCCCTATAGGGGCGCAGGAAGAGGTGCCAGCCCCCGGGCGCGCTCGCTGCCTTCCTGCCACGACCCGAGGACATCAGGGGACACGGGGGGGCTGTGGGGACGTGGGTCAGGGGATGGCCGAGGCCACTGCTGTCCCCTGTGCCAGGACACGGTGGCACCCCGGCGACCCGGCACCCCTTTCCCGCGGCGCTCGCGCGTCCCCGCGCTGGGAGCGTGCCATCCTCCCTCCATCTGCTCCCGATGACGCTGGCGGGTTTTTTGGCACCGGGCGCTCCTCCAGCAGCGGGAGCAGAACCAGTCTGGCTGCCTGCTGGGGCCGGAGACAAATAAACACAGCGGTGGCAGCAGCCGCGGGCAGCGGGAGCGGCGGGGACGGGACGGGGCGCACGGGTGCTCGGCGCCGGCGGCGGAGGGGTGGGGAGGTGGTGGGGACGTCCCCCCTCCAGCCATCCCGCACCCCGAAACCCGGAGCCTTCCCTGGGGACAAGGGATGCTCGCTCGTGCCACTGACAGCAAGTGGGGATGGTCACCGGTGTCACCTACAAGGCTGAGGGCGCACTGGGAAGGGTGGCACACGTGGGTAGGGTGGCACACATGGGCAGGGTGGCACGCGTGGGCAGAGGGGACACGCGTGGGCAGAGGGGACACGCGTGGGCAGGGTGGCACCGTGTCAGCAGCCACTAGAAGGCAGCAGGTTGCAGCTGCTGGAGTGATTGGTGACACACCGGTGTCACCAGTGCCACCGCAGGGCTCACGGCCCCGTGGGGCGCACGGTGGTGCGCGCCCCCCTCCTGCACCCTCACCTCTTGCCCACCCGTGTCCCCCTGTGCCACCTCGCCCCGATGGGCACACGAGGGTCCTGGAGCTCCAAAAGCCCCCCCCAGCCACCTCGCTGCCACCGAGAGAGGGACAGGAGAGGTGGCACCGAGGCCACGAGGATGGCTGCAGGAAGATGGGGAGCACCTTGGGTATTTTGGGGTGCTGGCGGGGGGCACACAGGAGGGAGACCACAGGGACAATCCCGGGGCATCCAGGTGCCACTGCCAGCTCCCAGCTGCTGTCCCCGATGTCCCTGTCCCCCCCCCATGGAGGAGGCTGCCGGGAACCGTGGTGCTGGCAGGTTCAGCACCTCGTTGAAGCCCCCCCTCTGCCGGCACGGCGGAGGCACCTTGAAAGGCCCCTAATGAGCGTGGAGTGCCCTTCAGAGCAGATTGCCATTGAACCCAGCCCTGCACCAGCCGCCTGCTTAAAAGCAGCTATTTTCAGCTCCCGGGTGCACAAGCGGTGGAACTAATAATTTATTACCAAATACGATCAGGCAGCATCTCCAGCCCCTGGCAAATGGAGCGGGGAAAAAAAAAATAAAAAATGAAAATAATAATAATAAAAAAAACACGGCGCAGCGGGAGGCTGAGCGAGCGAGGAGCAAGTGTCCCCCCCCGGGGCTGGACCCGCACCCAGAGCCACCCAGCACCCTCCTGCAGGCACCCCCCTGCCTTTTGCTGAGCCCCCCCCGGGCTGGGCAGGGACCTCAGTGGGGCAGGGGGGGCGATGCCACCACCAAAGGTCCCCAGAGCCACCACTGAAGGTCTCCAAGGCCACCACCGAAGGTCCCCAGGACCATCACCAAAGGTCCCCAGGGGCACCCCAGGAGCTCCCCATGGCCAGGAGGTGCCCCGGGGGGGTCCCTCTGGGTGCTGGCTGCAGCCACAGCCCCATGGGGAGCCCCATGGGGAGCCCCAGGGTCGGCCAGCAAAGGGGTTAAGGCCCCGGGTGCCCGCTTTGGCTTTTGTTCTCCTGCTCTGCCTCTTAACCCCGGGCTGCAGCGATACTTCCTCTCCTTTCACCGCCTCTGCTCCCAATCTGGAGCCGGCATCCAGCTGCACGCCCCTCGCCCGGGGAACAGCTGCTTTGCATACATTTTCCATGCTAATTGCCTCGCTTTGTGAAGCCCCGGCTGAATGCAGCAGCCCAGAGCCTGGGCGAGAGCCTGGGCGAGCAGCGAGCACCCGGCCCCTCCACGTGCCCCCCTCCAGAGCCTCCCCCCTGGGAGGGGGGACACAGCGGGACGGGTGCTGGGGGACACCATGGGGACACCGTGGGGACACCGTGGGGACACGACGTGCCAAGCCCTGCGCTCCCATGGGGACAGATCTGGGTGGCACAAGCGCCTCGGGGTGGTGGAGGCGTGATGCCAAGCTCCACGGGGGCCACATTCGATGCTCCTTGGCCACGGGGGAGGAATATGGGTTTCCAAATTCAGCACCCGAGAAGGAT